GAGCCAAAGGGAGGAAAGGGCCAACGACGCCGGGACCAACGAGACGGCCACTAAATATTGTGTTCGCGCAGAGAATACAGCTCTCAGGACACGTGTAAGCGGGGCCGCGGGATTCCGTATGAGCAGATCGGCCCGCCGATTATACGCTAATTCAACGCAAATTCCTTCCCGGAGATATCTGTATCGCTCGCATACATCAGAGCCCGCGGTAGCTGGCTGCCGTTGTTGCTGCTGCTGCTGGTTGCTGCTTGGCCTCTGCAGAGGCCTGTGCCGCTCGCCGTGGCTCCAAGCGTCCGCAGCCTCCGGTTAGCTTAATCAGTACCCACGAGGAGACAACTATATACCAACGGCTACATAGTTTCGTGCACATATGGCGTCCACACATCGACCCCGCGGATACGACCGACCCACGAAACCCGGGACGGTTTCTTTCTCGTCCCACCAGATAGAGGAGCTCGCGCGAAAACGCCGCGACGTACTAATTAATCCGAGATTCGATTATGATATCGGGACGCGTACCGTCGAAAACATGGACGGGGTGGATAGAAATTGAGCTGGGCTATTATTTGCCCTGGAGAATGAATGTCTTTCTATGTCCCTAACTGCACTACCTTTTCTCATAAATTAAGATATTAAAGACTTGAGTAAGACCTTTACCTGTAACAGTACCTCTAAGAATGGCGACACTGGATAAAACATTTTTTCGTATGGCCCTGACTGAAACATGTTTACTTTAACACCTACTCGATTTTAGGAGCTCGCTATATCGTGACTCGAACTATACTTGTGTTGTATCAGACTCATCATAGTACATGAAGGGGGTAAGAATCATTACTGCAAAGGATATAATAAATCGTGCTGGAAGACTGTTCCGATTATCGATAGAGACGCATCCCCAAGACGCAAAGATGGCGGTTAATCGGGAAGAAAGCGATGTAAAGCAAGGGCCCGCGACCCCGGGGAACGAAGATACGCGGAACAAAGGCGGTCAGAAATCACTGTACGGACCCCGGTTCGACGTAAAGGTTCTCACGCATGACGAAGGGGGATTTCCAACGGAGAATCCCGCTAAAGAGTGCGAAGACGTAGGCTACCGTCTACCCACGGTGCGCGCGGCCCGTTCCGTGCGCGCCTTTCGGTCCAGGGCAGAGGACCGAAGATATATCACGTTGTCGGCCGACATACCATTCTTTTGCGGCACCGCGGCGGCCGACACAGTGTGCGCAGCGTTCACAAATTAAGGAGCGCCAAAGTCCACGGGACGGCGTAGGTATGGCGCTATCGCGCTTCATAAAACTTCGTTAGCACGCTGGAAGTAGACGGGGCCGGCGAGAGCCCCGGGTCTGTGTAACCGCGTATAACCCGCTGATGGCCTCGCGGGGCTACCGTAAAAATTCATTTTCTACCCGCGCGTGTAATTTCCCCCGGATTCTTGCATCTTTCGCGCTGCCGGACCGTATTAGGCGGACCGTGTTCAACCGGACCCCGATCCCCGTCGCGCTAGACTCGCCTGTCGCCTAGGAGATCCTAATCTTGATTACCAACCCGCGTTCCTTTATTCGCGGGTAAACGAGATTCATCGTCGCCCGCGTCTTCCACGACGAACCCACGCCCCACGTCCTTCCTCCCTCAAGCGCGATCATTTTCGCGGATTTCTTTTAGGTCAACTTATATTATCGTTCGAACAGACGCGGACGAAAGCGATCAAGCTCGAACAAAACCATCTATGCCATCAGTCTTCGTCATTTACATGCACTAGGTAGATTTCGCTCAAACTAACGATGTAAACAATTGCAATGAACTGAAATATGTTCCAACAGCTTCAGTTAAAACATTGCAATTCTCTATTAGTTCATTACTTTTTGAATGCTTCGAAGGAAAGTTGATTTCCATTTGCCAATTTGATAGAAAACAACATTACGTAAACTATAATTCAGTTGATTTTCACGAACTTATGGACCTTCGACCGCACGTAAAAACGAAGCCCCCGATGGAATTTGCTCTGTCCACCGCGAACGTAAAAGTGTTCCATGGGACACGGGGCCCCCACCCCACTCGGTTGCAAGGGGTCAATGTTTGTCGAACAGCAACGGTCTCAATTTCGATCAGAGAATCCTTTGGCAAGTGCATCCTGCCGGAGGAACGGTATTGGCGCCACGTGCCTCTAATATCAACCAGGAGGTCGTATATCCTGCCGGTGCGTCGCTCGTTAATTTGCTGTGGAGGCAGTGCATATAGGGCCAGCGAGCGCACAAGGTGCACCCCACACGTGGTCGCACGTACACGCACACAGACAGTGGAATGGTCCGCCGGTGAGCGTCCAGGCCGCACGGTGGCCACGTAAACCCGCACACAGTGACGTTCAGGGTAAATAGGCATACACGAAAGGGGGGGTCGCGCGAGCGCGTGGTTCTCGTCATTAGGTACGTAGCCTCGTTAGGATGAGTTTTTCCGCCGCTAATGAGGTGGTCTGCAAGTTGTCTCTGCGGCGTGCAGACGGTCTGGACGCGCACCGGCTCTCCGCGCGGATCACCCGGACGACGACGGTCCACCCGGGGCTTCCTATGACGTCCGCGCGAATCTGGAGGACCCGGCGGACACTATTTTTAATCTACCCACGGGAACGCTGGACTTGACGGAATTAAAATTCATGTACCCCCCGGGTGCGCCGCGGTCGGTTGCTTATATCCCCGACGCCCCGGAATCCTATATTTCTCTCTTAGCGGACGTCGCGGAATAATCCGCGTTCTTTCCGGCTGTTACGCGAACACCGGAGATTTTCTCTTTTCGCTTCGTGTTCGCCCGCGGAACTCCCCCCCCGTGATACCACCGACCGGTGGATCTCTACGAAACGGAACCTGGATACCGAGGAATACTCGTTAGCGACTCCCCGCCGACGGTGTACGCCTCGATACGAATATGATTCGGTTATAGGCTGGAAAGATCCCATTACCGTTATAATCCGATCGATTCTGGTAATATTGCGTTATGTTGGCTCTTTTATTTATTCCTCGTATGGGTTTTCTTGTTCATTACTGTTCCATTTTTTATTATAACGAAGTAATATATTTAATACGCTTCGTATTCTACTATTTAGGGATCACGTGGCAGATTACATCGAGTTACGACTGAAAGATGTTAACATTGGAAATTGTCCGTTTGGAAGACGCTACTTCCGAACGATTCGATTTAATCCAAATCGATCTATTTTCGGAGCGATGTCTTTCTTGATTCGCCAGTAATTTCGAAACACGGCCGTATCGGGGAATAGATGCCCCGAAACGGTGACTCAATTTTCAGGAGCTTGCTCCGGTTAATGAGGCACCGAAACGAGGGACCGCGGAATCGACAAGCGCGCGAGCGTGTCGCCGTTAATAGCGCGATGGCGCGTCTCCGCGCGCGAGCGGAAAGTGATATTAAGCGTACACAGCGTCGCGTTTTTCACCGAAACCCGGGCCCATTAAATTTACGAGCCCGTCGCGGTAACTTACAAAGTATAATAACGTATATGCTCGAAATAATCCGTCGTCGGGATAACCCGCTATATGGAAATAGTCGGACGTTTTCAACAGCTCGATGTCAAAGCTGGCCACCGCGAATATATTTCAACGCTTAAACGAGCACGCGGGTCGCTTGAACCGCCGCGGGCAGCGTTTCGGATTTCTTTTTTTTTTTTTTTTTTTAACCACGAGTATTTACATTTTACTCGCCCCAGCTATTTTTAACCGGTTTTATTTCGCGACCGAAAGCGGCGAACCGTTTCAACGAAATTAAATCCCGCGAACTTCGTCGACATCAAATTCGCGGGTAAAATTCTTAGATGGAGGATGTTGAAAGAGACGCTGAAACGTTCACATTTTTCTAATATTTTCCACGAAATCTTGTGGTCCTCGAGGGACGCAAGGTTCTTGATTTTCAAGTCCAGGCCATTTCTTAACACACTACAACGAATCGAGAATTCTAACTAACATTCTGACTAACACCCTTCGTAATAAACTATGTTTATTGCATAATTTCAAGGAGGACTTAAGTTCATACTATTATGAACAGAATGTCATTCGATTTTTTACTTTAGATCAAAGACTGCGATCAACACCGTCGACATAAGGAACAACATTTATCATTTCATCCAAAGTCGACAAACGTAACGGAAAAAAACTATTTCTATCTTGAAATGTTAAAGAATATATGTGGAAAGTCAAACCCTTATGCTGTAAAAAACTTGTCAAATATCGCTTCTCGCTTTACCATCTCACACGAGTCTCCCTTCTCGTAAGGGGTTAACAAATTCAGTCCTATCGATAACCTTTCGTTTCCAAATTCTTTGGATCGTGCACGAGGCGACCCGACGCTCTTGCCAGCCCGATCGATCGACGTCCTTCGAACCGTTTTCCCCTCCCGCGGGGCGTCAGCGTCGATCTGAACCCGAGCCAAGAATCCGACGGGGTCGCGACAGTTCCGGTGGCGATTTCCCGTCCCCCGTCTGAGATCCACCAAAGTAATTCGAGCCACTCGAGTCGGTCTTTCTGGCGTGTTTCGACGTTGCACCAGCTCTCGTCCCTCTCGCTGCCCCCGGTGATCGACTGCTCTCAAAGTGCTCCTCCTCCTCTCGAGTGCTGTCCGACGTCGCCATTCATCCGGCTCGTTCCGGTTGACGTAGCCGGGTGCCGTTGCTTAATTCGCGAATATTTCACCGGTGGCTGCTCTCTGAAAATACGCTACAGCTGCTCGCGTCGTGTCTACAACCGGCAGGAAGGGGGGTAGCCACGCGATTTTTCCAAAATATAGACGACCGCGGAGGGGCAGGGAGACGGTAAGAGCCGTAAATTTCCGTCGTTGCGTATTTTTATGCCTCATTTTTTTTTTCTCGCCCCTTCCCACCCCCTCACCGTACGCGACCGAATAATCCGCGGACTTGATAATTCTATTCTCGAGCGCGGCGATGATTTAAGCGACCGAGCGAAGAGTTATTATCCACGGTGTTGTTGCGCGTGTTGCAGACGGCTTTGCACTGGGCCGCGAAGCACGGCGACGAGAACATCGTGAAGCTGATAGCGGGCACCTACAAGGACTACATCAAGAGCGTCAACGAGACCACGGTGAGTGGCTTTTCGATCCTTTACGTTGATATTCGATCCGCGACACGCTGAAACGCGCCGGTGAATTTTCAATTTTAATCAGTTTTGGTCTCGATTTTTTGGAAATCGAAGTCACGGGTTAGAAACGCTTGGCTAAAGTCTGGGACGAGTCTTGAATTCGTGTCAAGCGACGTAGCTCGCGGCATAAACGTACCTGGGGGCAATATATATCTTTTAGCAAAGATGTTATGCAAAGGTAGTCGCATAGAGAGCGCGTATGGATTTTTTAGTACCACATGGTACCGTCTTTATGGGCGGGAGTAAGTTTACGACCCGTATAATATCGCTCGATACGGGATATACGCGAGCAAATGTTTTAGAATTTATCGAGTCGACATCGTCGATAAAGCCGGGCTACGGCTCTGATTTCTTTTGTTTTCTGTTCCCGGGGGCTGCTCTGCGATCCTGATGCGCACAGAACGGGGTAAGTTTCTCTATAGTTACTATCTTAGATGTATGTCGCGAAATCCATCTTTTAACGTGGTTGGCCGCCATGGTGGTCACCGGTGACCGGCGTCTAAATTGTATTTAGGGGTTGAAACGACCCTCTACCATTTCACCAATTTTATTAATAAAAATTTGCATAAAAATCCGCAGTCTAGTAGTAAGTAATCTTTGAAAGGTTGGTACTGTTCGTCGGTGTCTGAAATAAGGACGAGAGTTAAAGAAACTTTCTACGAATAAAAATCTAGGTGGAACCAACGATCGATCGCGATACAGTAACGATTCGTTAAACCCTAAACGTGATTCGTAAATTGAACGTTTCTAACCCTCCCAACCGTGTGTAAATATCTGCCAGCGTCGAATTTCACCTCTGCTGTGCGAGAAATGAATGCATGTCAACCCCAAACGAGGCGTTCATTTTAAGAATCATGAGAATTCCAACATCGAACGAAAAGTAGGGGGTGAATCTTGTCAAAAATAAATCGCGAGAAATGTCTAGCGTAATCTAGCAAATTTCACCTCCGTTGTACGAGAGATGAACGCACGCCAACCCCGAACGCGATGTTCATTTTAAGAATCATGAGAATCCCAACATCGAACGAAAAGTAGGGGGTGAAATCTGTCGAAAATAAATCGCGAGCGATATATAGCGTAATCTGCGAGCGGCGGGCGCGCGAAAGGAGCGCAGAGGGCTTGCATTTAAGCGGGCCGCGTGTCTCCGGAGCGCAGAGAACGAGGAGAGACGGCGGATGTTCGTCCTCGAAGCAGGAAGGAAGGAAAGAGAGGGTCGGAGTAGGCGCATCGCGCGGAGTTGGAGCCTCCGCAGATAGGATCGGATGTGTGTGGTCCGCCGCTTTGCTCTTTATAAGACTTATATAAGCCGGAGTGCCCTTCGCGGGGGGAAAGAAACAGGGCAGAAAGGGGGCGGAGAGAGTGACCGAGGAAGCGGAGAACCTTGCTCGTTAGCGGCTCGCGACAAACACCGCTGAACCACCGCAGACGTTCCTCGCCCGATGGACGAACCCGCGAACGACTGGAACGCGATGTGCAAACTTGGAAAAATCGAGCAATTTTCGATCGAGTCAAAAGAGAACTTCCGCGAAAGAGTTACGCGTCCCGAAAGCGACGTCTAAAAGAACTTTAGCTAATATTGGACACAAGTAAACGCCATTTGTATTTCCAACATCGTTGAACTAGTTTGTTTGAAGTCTCTTAATGTTTGCATACGAAGAAGATCGAGTGGTTTTATAGAAGAAGACATTTTAATGTCCTGTCACCAACGTATTCACGATTGCTATAGCGAGACGTGGTCAAACTCGATTTTCTCGTAAACGAAACATCAAACGGTTAAAAAAAAAATGTTATTCCTTTTTTTCGACTTATTTTCGTACGTAGAACCCACCCTCTGTCCGATAGTACCACCCATCCGGTAACGCCTTGTATTAAATAAAATAAATATTAATATTTTATGAAGTGAAAAAGTAAGCGTGGAATTTAATTTTCAATTTAGGATCGGAGATAAGTTCGATAATATTCAATTTTATATCGTGACCCGTTCATCGGGGGGATCTTACGTATTTTATTGCGTAAGGCTCCCGCGTTCTCTCTACTCACTTCGAGAGATCGCAATTAAGGAGATTAGCGGCGTAATGGCCGCAGATCGCATCTAATCGCGATCATATTCGCCCGGCGGTGAATCTTATAAATTCCCAAAGCACATTTGTGCGTCTGCCTTGTTCCCTGCTCGTTTGCTTCGCGGCGTAACCCGAACCGGCCTGTCGGCGCCGTGACGCCTTTTTCTCCCTCGACCCTTCCCGCCAACGACATTTTCTCGTTAACTTAATAAACGATTATAAAAACGACCCAGTCCGCCATTTTTAATATCTCTTTACGTTCCGTTATTCCACTAATCTCCAAAGCTCGCGAAGGCTACTTTCAATGTTAACTATCAAAATTCGCGATCGAATGTGTTACGAGAGATGTAAATATTTTTTGTTTACTCGCTAAATAAAAATTTAGGATCGATGCAATTCTGAAATGAAACGAACGTCCCCGGTATTAGCAGTGGACGATCGAGCCCACGGTGCTTCGATTCTTTAAAAAACACGACTCGCGTCGCCTCGAGTCCGGCAGGCTCTCTGTTTTCGGGGGATTAGTGCTCGATTTAATAAATACGCGTGTATTCGTGTAGGTACGAACAACGTGGCGCGGCTAATCCACTCCGGAATGGATCCATCCTCTATCCGGCTCGTCTTTTTTTTCCTTTCCGAGCGGCGGCGGCTTTAGCAGCAGACGGTGGAATCGCGGCACGGCGTAATCTGTCACAGCCACCGCTCTCGCCGTAGTTTTCTGCCGGCTTATCCCGCCACCGCCACCGGGTTCTCTCGCTTAATACTCCCGGGCAAATGAAAAAGAGGGAAAAAGCGCCCGTGGTACCCGTCGCTGGATCCTAAGTCGCGTATCTTTGTCGGTTGGACGCCGCGATTTTACACCGTGTAATATCTGCTCGTTCCGTGTAACCGTTCCGAATCGCCGGAATTCCCTGCCCCGGACACTTTTTATCCCCTTCGATCGCGCACCGGCATTTCTTTCGCGCGGCTTTCCTTCGGTACAAAGTACTTTTCACCTCCCTTTTGTTGCCCCGATGCTCCGTGAACCGGGGCCCCTGGCGTTCCTCGCGCCTCTACTGGGTGTCGGGAAACGTTCAAAGTTAACTTCGGGTACCCCTATCCGTTCGTCGATACTTCCTGTTTACGTTCATTATCACAATGGTCACCGGTGACCGCGTGGAACCAACAACGTGTCATTTCAAACCTTTCAGTTTTCGTATATTATTCAGTATTCGTATTTTTGAAGTACTCCATTTTGCATGATATTCCCAGGATAAAATTTCAAATTCAACGAGAGTCCCAAGACGGGGTCATTGAACCCTTAAGTGGACTCTCGATCTCAACAGAATTATTTTACTTAATATTGATTTTTACCCAATTTCCTTTAAAACTATCGAGACCTCCTCAAACACTGGTACACAAAGATCATATCGTGTGAAAGCATCCTATTTGAAAGGAAATAGTTTGTCGATACGTTAGTTTTGCGACGTCCCTGGTATAAGGTGGCCGCGACGGGCGGGAAGATCGCGTCCTCTTCCTTCGAACGGCGTTCTTTCGCAGGTGCGGCTCGTTTGCCAGGCGGATAGACACATCACCGAGAAATTCGTCGCGGCGTTTCTTCTCGCGAACGATACCCGCCCCGGCGAGGTTCCTGGCCGGCGTTAGAACGGGCGCAGACAACCGCGGGGTAACCTCGCAGACGGTGGATCGCAGTCACGAGCGTAATCTGTCACGGGTACCGCTTCCACCGTAGTTTTCTACGGCTTATCGCGGCATCGGCTCGCATTTAATCCCCGCAAAAAACGGTGCCCGTTCCCCACGGGGACCCCGTAAGCCGCCCGTGTGGCGCCTGCATCCTTGCCGGGCGTACGACAGCGAACGACAATGGCGATCCCACCGGTGGACCCCCGAGACAACGCCGGAATCTGTCGTCCGTACACCGGGTGACCCGTTTCGAACGATGCTCCCGTTAAATTTTCGAACGGAGTCGAGCAAGAACACAGTGCATCCAATTTGCAACAAAGTTCTTTGATTTTATTGTTAAATTAGCTGTGAGAGGCACCCGAGTAGATGGGAACTTCCCATGCTCTACGCCAGAGGGCCACGCTCTTGACTCTCTCGCAAGTACTCGAGCAACCTATTGGTATGTACACGTATAGGGTTGAGTGAGACGTCTAAGGCAGGACCCAGGACAAATTATAGAACAGAATGCTGTTGTCGTTAGGAATGTGAAGATGTAAAGAGCAAGAAGCATGTATATCATGGAAGCATAATAGAACCACTAATGGAAAACTTTTGATGCAATTTTAAACTGCAATCAAGCAAGGCAAAAACTTAAAAGCCCAACAATTGTAATCAACCGCTTCAGAATTGGATGTTCCAAATTATTATAAACGCATCAAAAGACTTTTATTATAATTTAAGAAAACGACGAGTTTCAGTCCTGCCTGCACTAAAATTGTATGCGAAGAGAAGAATAATGGAATCGAGGCCCCGTAAACAGTCCGTCTATATATCGTTCTGTTAATATCGGATTCCGCAATAAACGCCAGTGACAAATGGGTCGAAACCGCGATCATAGGCGAGAGGTTCCGTGCACCCCCGTGTCGGCCAGACTTTGAAAAAGGGGTTGCGTTCGACGGCGGTCGGGGTCGCGAGGGGGGGGCAGAGAAAGAGCCGAGAGAGTTATTCAGCGAGCATCGACTCTAATTTATTTCACTTTAAAGTCCCCGCGTATAGGTGGGCGAAAGTCAGGCGGTCGCCGAGAGAGGAATAGAAAAGTGCTCGTATGGGGTGCCGACACAGAGAAGTCACCCTTTTCCAACTCCAATAGCACGCGACACGTGTGTCCTCGCGACAAGTGGCGCGACACCCTTCTGCCTTCACGCATGCTCGCTCTTTCTCTCCGCCATCGGCCTTTTCCATTTCGTACGACGCGTTACGCGGTGCCCTTCCTTCTCCTCTTTATACATCCGGGCGATATATTTTAAAGTAGCATTGTCCCGACACGCCGAGTCACCGCGCCTCGAGACAATATCGCCATCCTACCCCGATGAACCCTTCCTTCGCCCATCCCTTGGCGCTTGCCGGGGATCTCTTCTCGCTGCTGCCGTGTCTCCGACGCCCCGGCGCCCCGGAACACCTCTTTCGGAGTTTTCCCTTCTTCCTCGCGCGACAACCTTCGGGAACGGGACAGCTGCCGGCCACCAATATCACGCACGCGTATATCACCCTTGAGGATTTTCAATTTTAATATTTTCCTACATCGGGGCCGCCTTTACGACCAGCTAAATCATAACGGCCCTTCGCGCGGACGATTCCGACATTTTGTATTTCGACACCCTCTGGATATTGGCTCCTATAACGCGGAGAACCCATTCTTTCCTCCCTACAGGTGCTCCGATTTTCGTAGATTTAATGCGATCCGTACCGATAGTAAAATTACCTACGTTGAAAATCGTTGATCGTTCGATGGACAGCAATGATTCGTAAAATGAACGTCGCTTCGAGGGTTGACGTGTTCATTTGTCATACAATAGAGACGAATGTTCGTACACAGCTCTGTCGCTGAATCTTATACGAACGTTCGATTTACGAATCACGATCTGAAATTGCCCTCGTAGACCACGAAATTTATTTTGTAGGCCATTGAAATCCTGCACCGATCATCGTATATTGTATATCCGTACCGATAGTAAAATCATCTACGTTGAAACTGGTTTATCGTTCGATGTACAGCAAATGAACGTCATGCAAGTGTTCAATTTACGAATCACGGTCCTAACCCAGAAATTTACTTTGTACGCCACTGAAGTTTACGTTCACCGTGTCAAACTTAACTTTCCGTGCACGGCGTCGATCCGGTAGAAGTTAATGGATCAAAAATGGCGCGCGTCCCGACCTTCCAGCGACGGATCGTCCGCGTTTTCACCTCCGCCGGTATAATGATCGGTGCACGCACACGATTACGCGCAATTTGTCGCACTTATCGAGGCGGACATCGGGAACGGCCGATACGTGCTCGCTTTCGCGAGTACCGGTTCACCGTCGCGAATTTCCACTTTGCATACGATATATTCCAAGGTCGCTCAATTTTGTCGCCGTCCCGACCACCGTGATCGATCCTTCCCCCGATCTTTCGCAAAAATTGCACGATCTTGCCCGGATAAGACGGTCCGTTTCGCTGGTATCTGGGCCCGACAGATTGCGAACAGCAGCTGTTACGAGGCGGATTAGTCGGCGATATTATATTAATTTTAACCGACAGTTGCACGTCGTTGGACACCGGGCGAGATAGTCGGTCAATTAATAACATAATACGCCGCGAAAGAAACAGAAAATGAAATCAAACTGCTTGGAAGTAAGAGTAAACCTTAAACGTGGATACAAAATCTCGTTATTTACAAAGTAATCGAAGGTACAAAGCAAACAGAAACGAGTCGAAATTGACGCGTTTCATCGTTAATTGCGTAAAGCAGCCAGAGAAGCGGGACAAAAGCGGACAGGGTGTCGTATCTGCCATAAAGAAGGATTACACGCCACTCGGGCCCCCGTATCCTCTGACAATGTAATCCCTCATCGTGCTCTAATAACACGTTCTTCTCCTCGCGGGCTAACACGAAGGATGGCCGTGTCCCCGTATTCGCGCGACACGCAATTACGATGCAAACGATACGGAACGAATGTCTTCGCTACCGCGGGCAAACGCACGCTCCGCGATAACGGAACCCTGAGCACACACCGAACACGGAGACGAAAGAACGAAACGGTGTAAAATGCACCGCCGGTATCGATGGTACGCGAAATCGTGTCGCGCCGGTGGAAATATCGGACGGACGTTATCTCGCAATTAGTATCGCGCGGAGGGCGCCAGGTGAGAAGGGGACTGGCTGGTTTTCCTACGTCTCGTCGGGGCAAACAGCTGCCCGCTCCGACTTCTCGATTTTACAGAGATATTAACGATATTGCCTCGATCGAGTCGACCCGTTTGACCGATACGCCACCGGTAACGAGACACTCGCGGGCGCCCAATTACCCCTATAAATTAATAATTCAACGACTACGCGCTTAATTCAAACTTTCGAACGACCTGCCGCGCTGCTATGGTCGCCAGACTTTGGCTGGAATTGCTTCTATGGCGCCGCCTCCCGTACTCGCCATCAGAGGGCTACGCTGACAACTCTCTCTCGCAAGCGCTCGAATTTCCTTACTCCCTACGTATAAACGCGACACACTTCGAACAATGAATAGGAGGGGTCGATGTCACTGATCGATATCGACGATGGCTGTTGGTAAAGTAATGATTGACCGTGTTCATTTTACGAATCATTACTGTATCCGTAACTTTCGATCAGAAGCTCATTGCACGGAAGATTTGGCACACATTTAAAGAAAGGAAACGGTTGGAGGTTAACGGTGCAGCGAACCGGATGAAAGTCGGGAAAGTTCATACGCGCGAGTCCCGATCTATCGTCGCACGCAACGTTCGTTCGTTTTCGCGGCATCGCGTTTCGATCTCGTGTACGTGCACGCACACGTCGCCACGGCCCCCCCCCCTGAAGATAATATTGTTGGTCGCGGAAACGCGAATTCGCACGCTCCGAGTGATATTCATAATACGACCGCCATTAATTCCTCATTGTCTCTGCCGTTCGTCTTTTCCTCCTTTTCGCCTTTCCTCGAAGGGAAAGGACGCCGATAAGACAGCCGACGAGCAGTTTCCACCGTGTCTCGTCGCGTGTGCACGCCGATTTTTCCCGCCGCCCGGAGATCGACGCGATTTCTGTTGCGTGTGTGGCCCCCTTGTCGCCCGGCAGGATCGAAAAGACCCGGTTCGAACGCTGATCCGCGACTCATTTTTTCCAGGGATACACGCCGCTGCACATCGCGATGCAATTCGACCACGAGAATATCTTCAATCTTCTAGTCCAGGTATACGGTAAGTTGGACGACCGGTTTTTGCACGATCGACCCTCTCGCGAGTCGTAACCACCGCGTCGGAAAGTTTTCGGACCGCTGGAGAAGTCCGATTTCGATTCTATCGCCGATTTCCATCGATGAAATTCGCAGGAGCCAACCAGGAGATACGCGACTACAGCGGAAAGAAGGCCAGGCAATACTTGGTCTCCCAGGAGGCCGCCGTCAGTCAGGACACCTTCCGCAGTAAGTACCACAGCGAATCTCGATGAACGATACTCTATCGAGGACTCGTAACGTCCGTACGGAATCGATAAATACGCGATATAAAGGTTCGATCGTGGCGCACGATCGCGATATCACCGACGGCTGTAAATAAGACGCGTCGATGTCTCGCAATATTTACGCAAGGGATGCTAGTGCTGCAGCTATTCACGGAAAATCGTAAAAGCAAATTACTCGTTGTCGGTGTATATCTAATTCCAGTACGTGGAAGTCACGGGAGAATCATTGTCTCCCCCGGTATTTTTATCGTCCACGGCGATCTCGCGGTCTATTAATTTTGCATTAATCGCGAGCCTGAGAAAAACGCGCCGAGCGAGGAACGTGCATTTAAACGCTCTAACAACACCATTGTCGCCGAACGCTCGCAATTAAAGTTACGTAACATTAAGAGGTGAACACTTCGAACGCCGAGGGGAAAGCGTGTTTCCGCGGCCGCGTTCCTTCTTCGTAACGAGGATTCACGCGTTGTCGAATATTAAGGATCGCCATTCCCATCGACACCGTTGAATCTTCGTGGAAACGATACTCTACTCTGTCACTATTGTGAGACCTGGTCGTACACTTCTGATCGGTGAACCTCGGTGTTTCTCAACCTTCTCGCGGACGTGAAATTATTTTTTTCTCGGTTTAGAAGCGTCTTTTGAAGAATATTTATGTTTAATGTTCTTTTAACCCTTTGTAACCCCAGTTTCTTTATCTGTGTCTTTGCTACGGTAAATGTAAACAATTTTTCAGCATCGTGCTACTATGTGTGTGTTCAAGAGTTCGCGGAACACAGTTTGAGAAACGCTGGTACTGTTGGTGGAAGAAACATTGCGAAGTACTTGGGTGTACAATCCGAGTGGTTTCTCAACACACGTCTCAACAACGTGTCGTAACGAAATTCAAAGACACTGTCAAATTTCATGACACAGTGATGGACAGAATCAGAGAACAGTCGTTCCTTCCACCAAGCGTACGCATGGAAATCGGGCACAAATTTTCCCCAAGCTGTTCTATTCTGGATCAGAAGAGATATATTCGACGAACGAAAACAGAACGCTTGTTACCTGCAAAGCCAGTGGTTTTGATGCTTCTTGTAATTATTTCTTCAAGCTCCTCCCGTGCCCGGAAAGGGAAGACCTTTTTCGAACTTTTATTCGATATCGTGGGAGAAAGAGTGCACGAGCACGACGAATCGACGCGATAAATTCGATCGCAATCGGAGCGCACGGATAAAGTCGATGCTCAATCGCCACGATAAACCAATTATATAAGTTACGATCCCAGGTACACCGCAGTTTGCACCGCTTTCATACGCTTGGTTATGGTTCGGCCTCCACGGTATTCTTGGCTTATTTTCCGCTATCGGCTTTCTTTTGATCGCGCGCATGTTCGTCTCGAGGAACTCGCTTTTGCCCGTCTCCCGTCGCTCTTTGCTTCCTAGTTTCCATACTTTTCCAGCCGGGGCAGCGTACCGTTCACAACTAATCCGTACGTGGCATCAACTTCAACGCGAACGTTCCATTTTTTATCGTTTTCACAGCTAAACACATCGATCGATCGTTGCCCCCCCCCTTCGATTACGGATTTGTGGTTTTAAATCTTGTTGGAACGTACGAGTCTTCGTATTTTATTTTTCTTCGAAGCTTGGATGAACTTTCGGTATCGTGTCTCGTTTGAAATATAAATCATTCCAGTTAAGTTAAATTCAGGCAGTTTTTACGCATTTCTGTTTTGAAAGTAAATGTTTCGAATTAGTTTTCATCGACGTCACTGTTGTACGGTGATTGAGAATCGCTGCTGTATAGACTCCTCTCCGCAAAATCATTTCTCTGCACCTTCCTGTTTCGCGCCGTATCGTTCGAGACCTTTTAGACTCGTTAGTCTGTGGCCGCCAGAGGGCTACGCTCTTGACTCTCTCGCAAGTACTCAACCACTTCTTCCTATATACACACTCCTTGACCAACTACCCAATATCTTGTTCTCTAAGACATGGTTTCCTAAAAAGTCTTACTGATGAGTCTCACTAGCAGGCCCTTTTTCCTTTTCTACCTTCCTACGACCTTCCTCACTTGCCAAGGATTCGACTCTTTTTTAAAACTCCTCTTCGAAATCAAATACAGAAATACAAACCGATGAAACAATGAAATTCGAACGATACGTCGCGAAATCGGCTGGTTTCGATCGTTTTCTCCGATCGTAGATCGAAACTCGCGTCTATGTTCGATCGACACGAACGCTGCATCACGCGACTGCACCCATTCGACATGCACCTCGAGAGCTTTGGCTTTGACGCGATATATCCTCCTTGTTGGACGTGTTGTAAGGTGTACAGGCTCGGTGAAACGACCGCGCGATGAAAATAGACGACGTAAATGGGTTTCGGGCTCTCTTCTCCTCTTCTGTCCTCTGTCCTCGGTGAGTATTCGGGGCTCTGGAAGTATTCTTCTGTTGTAGGGATTACTGCTGCCGCTACGCACAGGCAAGTTCAGAAGCGCACCTCTGCTAAAGTAGTAAAGCGCTTGTGTCGCAAGATTAAAGTAGCCGCACCTTAAAGTAACGTATGACTGTCACTTTTATCGACGCTGACGTGAGTATTCCGACGACGAAAGCACGCGGGTCCACAATCCTCTCTCACGCGACGTCGAAGATCGCTGGTCGCGCCGCCCTGCGACGTCTTTTACGCCTTCGAACGCCGCGCCACGATTCCGTTCACGCATGCGCGGTGACTTCAAACATGGCGGCGAGCAAGCACTCGTCGCGTACCAGCGTTAAAAATGAACAAATTTTGTTAGAACATAAATACGAACTCTTCCAATGGAATATACGTTTTAGATTTCCTGAACGTGTTACTTTTATATTAATTAACACTTTGCGCTAGTTTACGGTCTACGAAATGGGCAAACTTTATTTTTTATCCGTGAATAAAATTTGCCAAGAATCTCCGATCGTCGCAGCCTGAACGGAAAAGTCTACCGGCGCTTGATTTGATAATTTTTTCTTTATTTTTCCTGTTTTGTCCGTTTACTTTCCGATAGTCGAATCGCCGAGTCGTTCGTTCCTTCGTGGACCCCCGTTGATGTTCCCGATGTTCCAAAAGAATTTGTGTACGTCTTGTTACTTGTGAACGCTTTGGTCGAGTCTTAACGGACCTGTCCGGTCTGTCGCTGATACCGTTGCGGCGTTCAACGCTTGTTAAACGTTCTCGTCTCTCTGTAACCGCGCGCGACGAACACGCAGACCGAACACGCGCCTTTTTGCGATCGCGCGAATAATTTGTTCGTTGTGTCGTTTGATCGGGCTGCACGTTGCGTGTACTGTGCTTAACGCGGTGCAATCGAACGTTCCGAGGATACGATTACCTGTAACGGAAGCACACGGATTGCGGTGCTCGAAACGCGACCACGCGACGCGCGCGTGTTCGAGAGACCGACTAAAAATTGCGACCAAACTTCAACGAACTCGAAGTGGCAGTAGTACCTAGAGACACTAGTACCCAGCACCGTAGAAAATGTGTTTTAACCCTTCTAGCTGGCGATGTGAACGCGATCTATTTCGGCGCGATCGCGTGCGCCGCTGCTGGCTAGCGATGGGACCGATTCGATACTCGCGCAACTCGAACTATCGACTATCGATCGATACTTTTCGGGACAAAAATGTACCAGACGATTCTACGTAGTTTCGTAAAAATTTACTTATCAGAAGCTACCATTCTCGACCGCCATGAGTCCTCACAAGCGAGAATTCCCATCGCTAGATTCCGGTAGAAACGTATAAAAAAAAATAACGGACGGAGCAAAATTCAGGCTGTTTCACATCGCCGACTAACGACAATCGTCAGTGTTTTCTTTGTTGTCACTATCACACGATAATAAAGCATGTGTACGTGAGCATGAGAAACGCATACTCGACACGAAATCTCCCAGCCAACGGAAAAGAAAAGGGACATCGAAACCTTCGATTAACACACGAACATGTAATACTCTTCGTCCATCTAAAATTCACTCGCCCTGATCCTTCGCCCGGTCGAAAACGCGACGACTGCATTCTTCGCGCGAACAGATTCTCACGGTCGTTGGCGTAATTGCATCGACCGCGGATAACACCAACTATATTTTTTTTTAACCGGATTAACTTTCTCGATCACATTTCTCGTCCTCGAGCACGTCGAGCACGAGTTTAACGTTTCACCTAAAGTCGAACAAAATCGACGAACCTAATAATCACGACAGGAACTGGCCCGACGTCGGCGTTGACCGCCGTTTTGAATTTCAATTTTTTTTATCAATGTTCCGTGGAACTTTTTAAACGAACATTCGTGTTGGTCAGCGCCGAACGGTTGGATTTTCCTGTTCAATTATTAACAAAAAGCGACAGTTCGCGAATACAGCAAGGACAGTCGCGCTAACCGATATACTTTCTATAACCAAACGACTAATACCGTTTAATCACACCTATTCGTAATAGTTCGTCCATTATAGTTTCCCTCCTTGCGACGTCCGCGCGCTGCGGCTAGAACGAGACAGTGTCAAATGATTTTCTATTTTATTTCAGAAATAAAAGCAAGGAAAAAGCATGCAGGTAAGAAGTAATCTGCATGAAACGATCACTAATTAAGTGGAGCTAATTTAGTGCATGACCAGTCGAGCCGATCTGCGGCATAATTCGACACCGATCCAATAGAATGGTTTTAGTCCCCAAACCTTTGCTGACAAACCTTTAAGAATTCTCAATCGCTGCCCTTTTTCTTGCATAACGCGGTCCAGCGAGTTAGGTAATCTGGACGAAACGGTACGAAAGAGAATTCGATCTATGTAGGTAACGTAGTCAGAAACTCTCTAGATTTACTTTAAATTCGCGATCTAGAGTTATCGTAGAGCCTGGAAAGGACTGTAACTCATTTCTAAGCGAAGATATTTGTTATATTGTATGAGCACAGATACAAATTTATCATTCAAATATCTTGGCTGGATCGACTTATATTAATCTAGTCGAATCTTCGCTCAGAAATAGGTTGTATTCCTATTTTTAAAGTAATTAACTACCATGTTTTTACAACACCTCGTAGCATAGTTTCTGGAAAATCTACCAGATTTTTAGTACTCAGTATACGAGTACTCATCAAATTTAGATATCGTTCACGCATACTTCCTATAGGCATACAGTTTGGCTTATATTTTGATCCAAATCAGTCGTTAATTATTCCCCGAATCATTACTTACAGATCTAACTTTTACTTATTACTCCTAGAGCTAGCACACGCCTGGCCAAAATATTTTTGGTCGTTTCTCGAAATTCATTAACACTTTTTTTATTAAATACCTACTCTAAACGTAACTTGGACCCGGCAGACCCGTCCTAGAACTAACAGGCTCGTCTGATACCTGAGACCAACAGATACTCTTACGCCGCCATGTTGTAAAGGCTACAGTAGATGCATGCGAAAACGTTTTACGTCAGGCGAACGAACGAACGAAAGAAACTATAAGAGAGCAACGGATTACGAGACGTTGTCGGTCCCTTAAGGGACAACGATAAAGAGAAACGCGGATAGAGAGAAATGAATAGACGGAAGAGGCGTGCGTGAAACGTAGAACAGGAACGATTAGCAACGGGTTAACACGATCAATGGTTGAACACGCAGAGAAAGATCTTGGTTTCCTGCGTATTGGCTCGCTGAACGTACGCGTGAAACGTACGACGGAAGCATTCAGCCAGTTCCTGGGTGTGGCAACTAGCAGTGTCAGCAGCAACCACGAGAAGCTACACAAGAGCTGGGGATCGGCGGATAATGTGCAGGTAGGGAGAGACTGTTTCTCGAAAATTGCCACCGACACACTTCCAACCTCCGGTTGCTTCACCCTCTATAATTATTCAACCCCTGAACGCCCGGTGTATCCGTGCTCGAATATTATTACGCGTCCAATACACGAACTCGAATACGTTTCTAATATCAACGCTTTCTCAATTTATTCGTTGAAGAAATTGCTTTTTCTTTTCAAATAACTTGTTAACTAAACTTTGAACATCAATTCCCCAATTTTGGTTGAGCCATCAGTTCCGGTTTTTAGTTTTGTGACGACACCTCGCGCACTTGCCAACGGAGGGCTACGCGCAACCTGTATTTCTCACAAGTAATCGACCATCCACCTGTTCCTATACAGAACGTTCGGCCACCCCTGAATATAATTCACTGAAATTTTAGGGGGTAGTAGAGTTCATGGATATCTACAAAAAAGTATTACACAACTTCTCTGTAGAGCGTCAAACAAAATTACTAAAAATGGAAAACGAATTTTTAAGGAAAGTCGTTCTGGAAAAATTATTTTCGGTTGCGAGGGTCAATTGCAATCATCTTTGGTGAATAGACATACCCCCAAAACCCTGCGCATTCAGTACGGGCGGAACTTTAAACGCTAATAACTTTTTAACGAAGTCTCCATCAACAAATTGGTATTATAGAGTCTCCCATTAAAATTTTTCTGAAGGATGGTCGAACACCCTGTGTACACGCTCCTCTGGCTAGCCATCGAACGTCTGAGACAGTCTCTTCTAGGCTCAGGATTTATTTAGACGTAATTTTTCTCGTTTCACGAAAGTTGGAACAGAAGATGATGCCGCCGCCAAAGTACGCGCCCATCAAGAAGAGGAGAAGCCGCAGGGCGCAGGATTTCGGATCGTCGCGGGACCATCACGCCGCCAGTCAGCCTAACACTCCGCTCCTTCAGGGCAAAGTGTCACGGTCCAGTCAACATCGTCGACCAACGTCCACGACGGCCGCCGGACCCGTCAGGACGCAACAGAGCAACGACTCGGACTCGGACACCGCGTGCGGTTTCGATTCCGCGTGGCGAGGATCCGCGCAACTGTAGACCCGGGCGTGTCTCTTGCTTTGTCTGCCGTGCCACGAAGACCACAGAGGCTTTACCGAATCACCATGTACCTTTTCGTCCGGGTTGCCTTGGACAACGATGCCTATCCCTTCCTTCGCCAATAACTGATCGCTCAAGAAACTCCTCGCCTCGTCGATGAAATGAAAAGTTTACGAATCTGCAATCTTTCGCGTTTTGAGAATTTACGGAAACGATTTAACCCGATCGCGAGAAAAATCGCGTCGATTCCGAAAGTGGAGTCGCCCCAGTAAATTCTCGTTCGACAGATTTTCGCGAGAACGAGTACTTTTCTACGTTGCAGGGACCTTTTTTTTTTTTTGATGTTATTACTGTTACTATAGCTTCTATAAGTGCCTTATTTAACGATTAGAAGCAGCGGGTTAGGTTTACGAGTGTCTCTTTTACGCGAAGACCAAATACGCGATTCTCTTGTGAGCGTGACAACGAGATCGCGATATTTCTATACAGGGTGTTCTGCGCACAATTTGTTTTTGTTTTATTAATTAAATAGCAACGATATATATATATTTGTATGTAATGAGAGGCAATGAATTCCTAGTGTAATTCTGTCTGTGTTATTTATCACATTATTATGTATTAACTGCGTCGTTGTAAATTTGTTGAATGAGATGTATAGATAATCATGATGAGTAATAATAAATAATTAATTATGCGGTGAGAATTATAAACTTGTGGGAAATTTCCGACCGACTTGTTTGAATTTAACTCGATGAACTGTCGACTGTTTCTAAAGTCGAGTCCTCTATCGATTTGGCACTATCTACTCGCGGATATCGAACGTACTATCGATTATAATTCGTGACATGGTACACTAGAGGTCACGACATGTCCATCGTACGAGTAGACCTTTCACCTTATGGACTTTCGTGGCCCAATCTGACTGCCATACCGACCTGAAAATTTGGAGCTGATTTTAGCGGCCTCTTTTCATGGATGGCGGTCAGTTGAGAAACTATTCACTGAATTAGCTTCGATAGGCAGACAGCTGTAGTGTATGCGTAAATACATGTGAGTTGACTATGGAAGAGATTGAAATTCATTTCTGAATCTGTTGGTAACGTTGCGAATGACACGAAAATGGTAATGGGGTTTCGAGACCCCATAAAAATGGGTCAAAAAATGGGTGAAAGATTTACCTGTATACCTAGTCTCTGACAATACTCTTGAATCTTTGATGAATCAATGAGAATGAAAACTAACCTAGTGAAGAAGTTCTATATTTATGATGATTAGACTGCGGATGTTTATGCATTTATGGGAAATTTTAATTCTCAAAATCTACAGAATGCACTTAACACGCAAGAATATAAGAAATACTTAAAGTAAGGTACGAATTATTATATCTAGGGGTTGAGACAACCCTCTACAAATCTCCAATTTCAATAATTTTATTAACAAAAATATGAATTTGCATGAAGATCCGCAGTCTAATGATGATCTATGCAAAGCGGATCGCAGCCAATTTGCTAATATTATTCAGTTTTTAATTAATAATTGCATTACCCAGCTAAGAGTGATACGATTATTAATTAAACGGTAATTAATATTACCCAGGTCTCACCACGTGGAGGTTGCTGCGAATGGAGACCCGCCCTAACCGATTCCCAACCACCCTCCATTAATAAAAATCTTCTCTGACCCACGATCGTTGGTCGAAGAAGAAACAATCGAAAGTGGAACCAATGAAAGATGCATAACCAACAGAGAGAGTTAAAAGAATTTTCAAAAGAATTTGTCTTCAAATAAAAATAACCTGCCTAACGTAATGGTTGACCAAACACCTGCCTAACTATAAATCTAAATTCGTTTATTATATCAAGAAACAATTCTAAATTCGCAGCCATTAGCTCGGTGTCACCCATGAAGAATAACTTTTCTATCGTGGGTGACACCGATTACCAGGTCTCACCACGAGGAGGTTGCTGCGAATGGAGACCCGAAGGGAGATAGATGGAATCAAAGTTCCATCGATCTCCCTTTTAGCTAAGCTTAGCTGGATTACTAAACTAGAGAGATAGAAGGAAGCAATGTTCCTTCGATCTTCTAGTTTAGTTGTACCAAGTAATTATTTCGTTTGAAAAGGTGTGAAGCTATATCGTGGGATACGCGACGCGACGCGATGCTGAACCGTGCGGCAGATCTTCGGATCGAATCAACACTGCCCTTGGTGGATTGATTCCTATTTCTAGCAATCGATCCATCATGGGTAGGCGACTAGATCTTTCGGACAAACTGGACGGCCGATCACATGTTTCGATCGATGAAACAGCGGTGATCGAAGCTAGGAACCAGAGAACGAGTCGGGAGAAGCTACTTGTTAAATAATTACTTGGCAATATTGGGAGACGCATACAATAGGGACTTAAAATTAACGTCGAAGCTCGAGTCTGGTCAAGTTAAAACTAAAATTCGGACGATAGAAGGAAACAAAGTTCCTTGGATGTTCTGGTTTAGTTGTACCAAGCAATTATTTGGTTAAAAATAGGGACGAAGTTAATTTGAGGGGCACGCGAAGCGACGCGACGCGACGCTGAACCGTGCAGCGGATCCGAGGATCGAACCTACTGCCCTTGCTAACTAGATCTCTATGGGATAACGGACGGCTGCGACTCCGAATCTAAGGTCTCCATTGCTCCAACGCAACCCGCCGGGAGCCCGAAGGACCCGACTCAAGTTGTCTGACAAAGAGAGAGTACCTCTGAAACAGTGTCGACTTTCGCTGGAAGGTATGCGTTTCCGCAGGATACGGAAACTCCACACCTTCCAGCAAAGTACCATTTTCCCTGGATCGAGCTACCAATGGGAAGGCGATTAGATCTTTCGGATCAGCTACACGGCCGATCACATGTTTCAATCGATGAAACAGCGGTGACCGAAGCTAGGAACGAGGGAACGAGCGAGAGACAAGCTACTTATTGAATAATTGCTTGGTAGGACGCGGAGATACGTATAATAAAGAAGGCTTCGACGTTAATTTTAATACTCGCGACGAAGCTTAAGACTAATCGACTTTCAATTAAAGGTCCATCGGCGGTTGTGGCGTTCTCCCTCGATGTCCTTGCGATTAACCCAAACTGAAATCAAAACTCATATGTATATTAGTGAGATATGGTAGGAAATTTAATAAACACTTTAAAATGATCTATCACCTAGCTAAAGGGAATTGAACAGAGCATATTAGCAAAATGTTACAAGAATTTAAGCTGAGAAGTAAAAATAAAAATCTTCTATTAATCAGTGTCGAACAACGAACACGAACGAAGAAACGAGTCAGAGACATCGAAACAAAACACTCCTAATAATGAACGAAACTTGGATCGAGACACCAAGTTGAATCAACACCAAACGATCAAACGAAATGGAAGAATCGAACAAAGTACCTCCGTAGAATATTACGAGAACTCGAGCAAGAACGTAAAAATATGAATTCATGAATTTGTATAGAAACAAATATAGTGTATGATTGAAAACAATATTATATTATTATATCCTGCAATATTATACATATCGAAGCAGTCACGTAAATTCGAAGAACAATGTAAAAGTGGAAACACAGAAAAGGAACATTCATATAAAATCAGATAGATAAATAAAGTTGAATTCACATCAAACAAACAAATAAAAATAATAAAATATAAATAAGTGGAGTGGACTTACTACTTGTTGTCAGTACATAGGGTAGTTACCATAAGGGCCAGCTGTAAAGTAAGAAAATATTCATATTATAGCAACATCGGTTAGATAAACAAGGCAAAATCAGTTCATTGAAGCAAAATTGGCATCAAACGATAGAATAGAAGAGGGGAGAGAATTTTTAAACAGTTCTTACCGTTGGTCATCACCGTCCGGCACTGGTCAGTAGTGGTCAGTAGTGGCAGGAACGCGAATCAGCACTGGTCAGTAGTGGTCAGTAGTGGTCAGCTGTGGTCAGCGCTGGCCAGTAGTGGTCAGCAGCGGCCAGCAGAGGTCAGCAGCGGTCCCCGGTTCTCCTCAGGCCATTTGTACACTCCCGAATTCGCGACGCGACTGATTAAATCTTCGCAGTGACCCTGCTTATATGTCTAAGGTGATGAAAAGGTGGGGAGACCAGTCAGAGCCAAAGTTGAAGATAACAGGTAAGACTGTCGTGTCTACAAAGAAACTATTTCGATTGGTCCCAACTCTTGACCATTTCTGGATCTTCACTGGACCGCTGACCTTAATGTCCACCTCACTGTTGACCACCAGTGACCATAAGCTAGTCATTGTTGATCATCGACCCATTAAAACCATTACGAAGATTAAAGCCTTCTTACGAGGATTCCCTTACAATTTGATGCATGATCTATTTAACATTTTGTTCCATTTTGGAAGAGTGTATCTCGTTAATTTTTGTCTTTTTGTACGTCAGTTCGAACAATTGCCATACGTGAGCGAAAAATTTGGAGGTGATTTTAGCGTCCTCTTCTCATGGATGGCGGTCAGTTGAGAAATTATTCACTGAATTAGTATTGACAGGCAAACAGCTGTAGTTTTGCGTAAATCCATGTGAGTTGACTATGGAAGGGACTAAAATTCATTTCTGAGTCTGTTGGTAACGTTGCGAGTGACACGAACATGCTAATGGGGCCCCGGGACCACAGAGAAACGGGCCGTAAAAATACATTGGGCGAAAGGTCTACTCGTATACCTGGTCAGTGCTAGAATAATAAATGCAGTCGATAAGCACCGCCGATAGAGTGATCGTCTTTCATGTTCCATCAGAAGATGCAGTTGGGTGTGACAGAGCTTCTCACCTGATCAACATTTCATTGGTCAGCTATATTTTCATTTGTTTCAGCTTTATTCATTTGTCTAGTATAATGATAAAAGTCATAATAAAAATATGCTTTGTCTATATTAAGCATAATATAAATTAACTTGAGATTATATACGTTAGTATATTTAATCATTAAAGGCAAGAACGCCCAAGTCTGTCGTGGAATAGTTCGTTATCTTTGACGCTAGATGGCGCGTATTTTTTCGATGTCAAACCCTCTGGTGCTAAAATGCCCAAGTTTGTCGTGGAATAGTTCGCTTATTGCTGGAGTGCCGGAAAACCAACTGGTTTCTCCAGGCTAGGAGCTCCAGGGGCGACGTATACTTCGTCTGTAATACTATCAACAAAGTAATTTAAAAAAAAACAATTCTGGCGTAGTAACACAGACGAAGCATGGAATAAATGTTGCATGCAATACATATTTCTTTATAATAAAGACCGTAGCATCATCTACGGCAGAACGTCCAAGTTTATCGAGAAATAGTACGTTCTCTACAACGTTAGATGACAGTTTCCTCATGGCACTGACATACCATTTGGAAATATCAATGCTACACAATTTGTGAAACGTAGGCCCCCCGATTTAAACCGAAAATTTTCTTCGAAAGATAAAAATAAATTGTGATTGATCATCATTTGTTGCATTAACTAATGAAATTTCGCCAGTTAAGAAATGTCTAACATTTAAACCGCTCAACAGACGAGTGAGACTTTCATAAGTATGTGCCAGTGTTAAATGGTACTACTCTCATGATTTCACTGCTTACGAGCAAGTTATGCAGAATTTAATAAAATATCCAAAGCGACAGTATGTCGATTCGCGAAGGTATCTGGTTTCCTTTCTTAAATATAATTCGAAGAACACCATATCCAGACGTATCAATCTTAATAATGATGCGAGTAGGTTATGTCTTCCGGTAACACATCGAGTAAGTAATTATTTCGGTGCTCCTTTTCATCATTGATTATACGACCAAATTATAAAAAAAAATATCCATTTCAGCTTTACTTAAAAATACATCAAGAATTGAATGCGATACAATCATTACTTTTTAAAAATGATCCTCGTAGAAGGTGCTGTTTTACAACGTTGTACAGTACGAGGAATTTTAGTACAACACCGAGATTATCAGATAAAAATACAAATAATGAAGGAGCTTCTAAAGATCCTAACAAGAATCCTAAAGATCCCAACAAACTCATAATGATACTTCTAAAAATATTTTTCATTCTCCCTTTTATAGTATTTATTTCCATTCGAACCATGCAGTTTGACGTTAATGGTCCTTGGCAGGTTCGTTAGCATAAATAAATAACAAAGTTTGTTAACTTATTACTTACATAAGTCTTGTTAATATGTTACAGGGAAATAAGTTTAAATGGAATGATTTTAAAAATGAGATGCTCTTAAAAGGAGAAGTCGAACAAATTGTAATTGACGGCCAACTTGTAACTATACATTTGAAACCAGATGTTATTTATAAAGGTCGAAGGTTACTAAATAGACGGTTTACTGTACTGGCCACCGAAGAAGCAAAAATTCTCGAAGCTAAAATTAGAGAAGTAGAAAAAAGTATTGGTATTAAATCAGGTACAAAAGATGAACAGAATTGTATTTCAATAAATAAATGTTATTTCATCCGTATATTGGTATTTCTAACATGATTGTTCCATATGATTTTTCCAGAGGATGCCATTCCAATTAAGTATGTACATAGCGACAGTGGTGCTTTTATAATAAATTTCCTACTTTTATTTTTAGTAGGACTATTATATATGTTTTTTAAAAAAAAGTCTGGTTTTCGTAATATGGGAATGAAGTTCCCAGATCCAAGGGATTTGATGAATCAAAACCTGAAGGCACCATTTACATTAGTTGAGCCTTTTTCCGGTAAAGGTGTGCGATTCGAAGATGTAGCTGGTTTAAAGGAAGCCAAAATAGAAATTATGGAATTTGTAGATTATCTTAAGCAACCTGATCGATATAAGAAACTCGGTGCTAAGGTACCCAAAGGTATTCGAAGTTTCAATTTGAAAAACTTGGATTTCTACTGTTTTTCCATCTTATATAGTCTCAGCTGTTATTAATTCTGTTTACGTTTAGGGGCGTTGCTCTTGGGCCCACCAGGATGTGGCAAAACGCTTTTAGCTAAAGCCGTTGCAACCGAATCGAACGTTCCGTTTTTGTCGATGAACGGATCCGAATTTATCGAAATGTTGGGTGGATTAGGTGCAGCGCGTGTAAGGAATCTATTTTCAGAAGCTAAAAAGAGGTTGATTATTTTCTTTATAACTCGTAAAAAATATGCCACTTTGCTAGATGTCCTTCCAAGATTAATTTTTACTTCACCTACTTTCCAGAGCCCCTAGCATTATATATATAGATGAAATTGACGCGGTGGGGAAAAAACGGTCAGAGGGAAAAATGGATTTCAGTAACGACGAGTCCGAACAAACATTAAATCAACTTTTGACAGAAATGGATGGAATGACGAGTTCGGTGGATGTTATTATTTTTGCTTCAACAAACAGGGAAGATGTTCTGGATAAAGCTTTAATAAGACCTGGTAGATTTGACAGACACATTTTAATCGATCTTCCTACCATGGAAGAGAGGAAACAAATTTTTGAGTATCACCTTAAGTCATTGACACTGCAAGGCAAACCAGACAATTATTCTGGATTCTTAGCTTCTCTTACTCCTGGTTTCAGTGGTATTGTATACGATTATTATTAATGAGTTCTAAAGATACAGTAGTGCCCGCTTAAGTGACCGCACTTTTGCCCACGTAAATGTCCGCGGTTATCCCCACCAATTCTTGGAAGTCAAGCGACTTCGAACATCAAGCGTAACTTGACGCCGATCGTTATCGATACGTTGCATATATGATTTCGGGTGCCAGCTACTGTATCTCACTCGCAGTTATCCTCTTTCCTTATCTCCATTAAATTCTGAGACTTAACTGACACTTAAGTGGGCACTACTGTATTTTTTCCCCCGCTGTAGTTTGACTAGTTCGACGTAAGAGGTTAGTTTTCAAGCGACATCTTTGCAGGTGCGGACATAGCAAATGTCTGCAACGAAGCTGCGTTGCACGCGGTAAGAGAAAAGAAAACTAAAGTCAGAAGCGACGATCTTTTGTACGCGATCGATAGAACTGTAGGTGGCACAACAAAAAAAACAAATGTATTAACACCATCTACGAAAAAAGTTATTGCTTATCACGAAGCTGGGCATGCCTTGGTAGGATGGTTATTAGAATATACAGACACTTTACTCAAAGTAACCATAGTACCCAGAACAAATTCGAACTTGGGTTTCGCGCAGTATACTCCGTCAGATCAGAAACTATACAACAAACAAGAACTTTTCCAAAGAATATGTATGATGTTAGGTGGTAGAGTTGCAGAAAGCATAACATTCAATCAGATTTCAACTGGGGCGGAAAATGATTTAAAAAAAATAACACAAATAGCCTATGATCAAGTTCAAAGATACGGAATGAGTCCAACAGTAGGCTTAATTTCGTTTCCTGAAGATATGACAAGCACGGTAAGATATAATTACAATAAAGTACGACATAATCGGCGAAGAAATAAAAATTCATATATTGATCACAGAACAATCCTATACAATGCTAGTGTCGATTTGTTTTTCTCTCTCTTTCAGAAAACTAAAAAATTGTACAGTAAAAAAATGGGAAATTTAATGGATGCTGAGGTACAAAGAATAATAGCAGATGCGTATAAAACAACTGAGAAATTGTTATTGGACAATAAAGATAAATTGAAAATGGTTTGTGTGCTTACAATTTTCAGAATCAAAATATATTTTCATATGTTGACTTTTAATTATGAAAATTTATAGCTTGCCGAAGCGCTTCTAGAAAAAGAAACTCTAACGTATGACGACGTGGAAAAGTTGCTTGGTCCTCCACCTTTTGGAAAGAAACGACTCGTCGACCCGATTAAATTTATTCCGGACATAGAAACGGAAGCACCAAAACCAACACATTCTAGCTCGGTTTGATAAGTATATGTACCATATGATATAGTAAAAAATAAAACGATTTCAAAATGAAATTTGTCACAGTATTTTTCATAATACAATAATCCCTCGAAATGTACACAAGGAATATTTTCTCGCAATGAACGAAACAAAATAAAAGGTTCGTAAATTTATTTAGATAAAAACAACATTTTCACAGAATACTTTTTGGAAAATACGAATTCAGAGCGTAATGTTATAAAAATTAATAAGTTACTTTATTTTTCAAATAAAAACCATTTAAAACTTTTTATAGAAAGTAGACATATATTTTTTATATCTGATGAATATATTTGTCTACACTACATATTGTGTAAGTAGAATGTACTGTGTGAAAAACGAAAGATCATCGTATTATAATTCAATAATTAAATATTTGCTCATGAGAAATTGTTGAAACATTAAAATAAAACTTAAATAGATTATTAAACAAATAGATAAAAAGAATATATCTTTGTTATATTTGTCCCCTTCATACTGCATCATTCTTCATAAAACGTACCACAGACACTTTTGTGCGATATCTAACAACTTTTTTTTAAGATTAACGTGAAACGTAACATTAGTAACAACTCATAAAAGAAAAATGAAAAATAACTTTCTAGTTCTACGTAAGTTTTTTGAAGATGTTAGAAAAATCCTTAAAATATAGATAGCGGTTCAAAAGAATAAACGTAATAATTCGTTTGTTATCAACATCGTACATTATAGGAACAGTTGTCACAGACTCAAATCAACGAAGACAATTTTGATTTGTGCATTCCTAGTCTTTGAGTACAACTTCGTCAAGGTCTCACATTTAATAATAAAATCACCCGCGAACAAGATCTTTAAAACGGTACAACGTACGTTCTAACTTTGTACCATCCCAATAAACCTTCCCACACCGTTCACAAATATAAAATAGTTGTACAGACTTTAATATGGATACCGGTACTTTGTCTATTTGTATGCACATATTATACTTCGTCGAACACTTGTTGATATTAACAGAATTGGTACTCAACGTCCATGTCCGATCCTCGCTGTGTTTATAATCATTAACTGAATTTGTTATCGAAGCATCCGAAATAGGATAACTCTTATATTTGCGACTCAGCTTAGCGAAGCTAAGTAATTATAGAAATTCATTAGCCTTATTGTTGTATTTAATGATTTTAAAACAAACAAATGTATATAACGAACCTTTGTGCAAGTTTGTCCATTAAAAGTTTCGGAACTTTTGCAAATTCATTGCTGTTACATACTTTACATCGACTATAAATATTTCTTCTTGTGACCAATACTTTAAAATGATTGAGTACCTCTCGCAATTGCTCGTTAGGAGTATCGGTCAACACTAGATAGCTCTTTCCAAGTGGCGGATGGGACTGTGAAAACTATATGCAATGCAGTTTAAATGGTGAATAAATGATAATGGTATTAACGAAATTAATAAAAAATATCAAAATAGATCTCACACTCACGTATGTACGACGAGTTAGAAGTATCCTATTTTCACACAACGCTACCCTCAAAGATTGACTTCCAGCTGGATCAAATGGAATGAATACGCAGTCACAACCACACGTCCGTAACACGGAGGCTAAAGGACCTAACATCGAATCACAAACGACGCGCCATTTATGGGCCTCCGTTTGTTTCTGATTGTGCCTTTGCGGGCGATACTCTTGTATCGCATTTTTATCGTATGTGTTGTCCATAGTTTCTGATCTTTGCGGTGGTCCATGTGTTTGTATATTTTGCCTCCTATCAGAATTTAATATTTTGTTTTTGGATGTACACGGCTATAACAAAATGCATACAAAAATCTATAATTGGTTTTAAACGCATTACTTTTCTATTATATTAAAGCTTGCCTTATTTATAGGTTTCTTTATATTCTTTTTAGGAGATCTGTGCGGAATGTGCTGTATTTCCGCACAAATTTCATGAAACTGAATATCCAACTGCTTGCACTGATTTTCTAATACTGAATATATTTCTAATAAACAGTACGCGTCCAACGCTGTAATAAAAAAAAGTATTATATCGTCATTATATCCAATTTTTATTCAACTTAAATATTCGAAAAATCAATTACTAACCCGCATACATGATTTGACTATTTCTCAGTGGCCTTTGTTCCCAATTCGAGAATTGGTCGGATTTATCTAGTTTCTGTCCAAAACAAAGTTCCACAAGTTTACTTAAACTTTTTTTGTTTAAATGCTCATCACCTTCGTGTGGGAATACAAATTTATATTCATCTACTAATTTTTTCCATAATTGGACTACGTCTAAATAGCCTTCCCCGTACGTTTTCACATTTGCCAAAGCAGGCAAACTATCATGCATGACTGTCATGTCATGAGCTATCCCAAATCCTGCATTACGAAATTATGTAAATGTATGTATGCATAAGGTGGAATATTTTAAGAGGGTATTTCTTTCTTTTTTATTAATCCACGACATCATCATATATGAACTGGCAATAAAATTATTTCTTGGGTTTCTATATGTTCATGAATCTATTAACGTTCTAGCTTAACGATACGTGACTAAATCTGCAGGACTATTAGATGTCAAATCTTACAAAATGTCCTTCGATGTTCTTTATAGGGAATGCTTTTATTAGGTTCTCAATCAGGAACATTATGCAAGAGTCAGCGCTGTCCAACATCCCTCGCGCGTCTACTTCCCCTTCCGGTTGTTCTTTTCCCACATAACCTACCTACGTTGTCAGAAAAACCTCGACGTTAAAGAAAAGACGGATAAAACAAAATTTGCGGGAAACAGTAGCATTGACTCCCTTTGATAACACATGCGTCGTACATGGTGCACAGCACCTTCATCGCATCATGTGGAAACCCTAACAACGCGGACGAAAGTTGAGAAACATCAAAGGGATCGCAAGCCCTGATTTGGACAGCGCTGAAATAGAGGGTTAAATTTTAATATTACACAAATTTCGAAATATAAACGAAGTTACGCAAGTGTAAAAAAAGCTGAAACATGAAACGAATTTTAAACGCGTATTTCTCGAAATGCAGTTGCCCCAGCTGTAAAGACTGGATAGATTAAAATACTTGTACTAGGAATACCTTCTTAATACTGTTTCCATTAATTGAATTTTCTTCATGTTTCATTCTAAATTATACTACACTGGAACGTTTTTAATTAATTGATATTTACCGAGTTTTAAGATACTCTTGTTTTCAAATAGCGTCATGGCCAACTCGGCCCACAATTTCATTTTGGATCCCATAGTCGTTACATCTAAGATATACACATTTGTTTTAGTTGCTATTTGTATCAAAGCCAACTCAGTTTGTTTTGTACCTATAGATCAATAAGAATATTGCAATTATTGATTATTACAAGACCCTTTACCAAAGATTCTAAATAATTAATTTAGAATATTACCAAAGTTAGGCTTCCATTCCGAATCAATGCCAACGATACGAACGTCCCTTAATCCATTATTAAGAAAATCTTCAAAACTTTGCACATTATTTACCACTTTTATACAATCTCTTGATAATTTTAATTCGTGATAATTTATAGAATCATCTGAGTCTTCCCAATCGCTCATCTCTCCTCTGCTGGTGGAAGCTCCTTCATTTATTCCTAGATAGCGTAATTTTATAAAATGGTATAGTAGTGCCCCCTTAATACATTGTTGGCCGGCAATGTTACACAGAAACTATGTCATGTCACCGGCTATTATGCAAGTGCAATGACGAGTTAACTCGTCAGGAGTCAACAACGTTTGGACACGAAATGACGAGTTAACTTATCACCGGTCAACAATGTGTTAAGTGTCAACGATATGTCGTTTAAGGCCAGGGGCACGCGAGCGTTGCGACGGACGTCGATTTCAACGACCGTTACAACTTCAGTCACCGTATTACCGGACACTTTCGCAAAAGGTATGAAATATAAAGAAATAAAGCTGAATGTAGAACTGTCTATAACAATACCCACCTAATAAACGACTGACGGTACGCTCCATTTTCGACGCTCGTGTGCCCTGTTTTATTTGTTTCAAAACAAAGGAAAACGTGCGTCGACGTATCCCAACGTCCGTTTTAGCATAAATACGTCGATAAAAAATCAACACTCATTCGTTAGTTTGTGGTCTCTGATATACGACAATGTATTTCTACAACGGACGTTCTAACGTCCGTCGTTTTAACGCTCGTGTGCCCCCGGCCTAAGTGGGCATGATTACTTCTCAGAATTCAACGGAGATAAGGGAAGAGGATAAGTGCGAGTGAGATACAATAGCTGACACCCGAAACCATATATACAATGTATCGATAACGATCGGCGTCAAGTTACGTTTGATGTTCGAAGCCGCTTGGCTTCCAAGAATTGGTGGGCATAAACAGCGGACATTTAAATGGGCACTACTGTAGACGGTCAACGAAGAGACATCAAAATATTAAAAAACTTACCTTCGATTTCAATGTGATCAGCTTCGTACGAAATCGCCCATGGCCATTGTTCTTTAGGTATATTCAATTTTCGGGCCCAATATAAACCCTCTTTATTATCGTTTGCGTTAATTAACATTTTTATCATATCAAGTTGTAACTGTCTATCATCTCCTACTGCTTCTTCGATCATTTCTTTCCAACTTGCGGTATCTTAATTTAAAAATGATCGACGTTTTATTTAAACCATTTAAAAAACAATCTCATTATTTAAAAAGCGAACATACTTAAACTTCCGTCTGTATAACGTTTATACATAAGGAAATGTAAAGCGCCTTTACTTCGCTTCTTATTTAGATTTTGACAAAAATCTGGTGGAAGATTATACAGTTTGATAAAACGCGATATCAGCTTAATCATTGGTTTCTTTTGCGTTGTTGATATCTTCACATCTGGTATATTTCTTTCTCTACAATATAGTATAAATACTGTTATGCTTAATGTTACTTTTTACAATATTATCTAGACTTACTGAATGATTGTTGTCAATTGGTTATGCATATTATTATCGGGTGCGATTAAGTTATCTAGGTACTGAACCAGATCAATTTGCATTTGCGGATAATCGTGTATAAACTCCTGTACATTCGTTAACCTATTTTGTAAAATAAGTGGTAACAATAAAGATTCTATATCTTGGAAGAAACTTTGTAGTTTTAACATAACCGCGTATTGCGCCGCCTCTTTATACTTTTTATCTTCGATCATTTTCTGAAAGAATATAAGTGTTGTACGTAAGTACAAACATAATATGTTAAAGTATTTATTTTTTAATTATACCTCTATTATATTAAGGAATTCTTCTTTATGGTCTACAAAGTCATATGTATCTGCAACTAATTTAATAAATTGCATGTTACTCTGACTAATAATTAATTGAAATGTTGCTAATTTTAAATCAGGAACTAGGAAATGCTTTAATTCTTCTTTTCGTGGTTCTAACCATTTTGCATATTCTTCGATAACTGAAATAGATAAAAACAAATTATTAAATCAATTGTTGTAATATTTGTATAAAAATATTTTTATACATTCTTGGTAGAAATACATCGACAATTCTACATTTAAAAGAAATTAACAATTAATATAACAAATGCTAAGTTCTGTTTATCAAATGATTAAAGATACATGTAAATATTGCCATAAAAAATAAACCTGCAAATGCTAATGTGGACTTTGATTTCATTTGTTTAAAGTTTGTGGTGTTTACTATTATTCTTATTGTGCTCAAGTATGGATTAGGCGCGCTTTCAAAATAATCTATCAACGTTTTGCTTAGACCTTCGCAATGTTTACCTGTAAAAATATGCGACAAATGAAGCATTGAAAATAAAGAAAACATAATTATAATATTAACATTGTAACAATATGTATTATATTTACATAATTGCCATATATTGGCAAGTGACTTTAGCCATTCTTTTGTAGCTTCATCTATAGATGAGAAGAATAACAAATAATCGTTGTCATTATTTGTAGAAAGTTCTGCCACTGTTGAAGACGACATCGGAGTTTCAATTTCGTTTACTATTGCTCCTATGGCGATATATCAACTCTACGTTACACGTAGCGAAAATGAAATATCTTATGATATTATCATAGGCTGCTATGCCTGGAAAAAATAATTGAAACGGCACGGTCTAACAATCCTTTGCACAAACATTGACGTATCGTTCACTGTCACGATTATTGTAAATGACGGCTCGAGAGTTTAAGAACGAATTTCTTCCATTGAAACAATTTATAGAAAGAGAAAGACACCGCTCCAAGTTCCGATACGAGATAAAACGTAGCCTTGAAATTCCCTAGAAACTTAACTTTTCTATTATTAAGCATGGGAAGTACATCGAATGAAACTACAAATAATTAATTTTGTTTCTTTATCTGTACGATCGTGCTCGGTTTCTTTTCTTTTTCGAAATAAAACATGATGGTTACGGCGATTTCTATGTTAATTTAAAAATGTATTATTTCGGAACACATGTCGATTGTATACTTTGTTTATGATAAGTACTGTCTGTATACAGTGTTAAATACTATATATGATACATGTTGTTTGTAGAATTCCGTGAGATATAGATTGTTATGATACGTAGTACAGGATTTGTGTCTCCTGAAAATCAACCGGTTTTCATCGATGTGAATTTTGTTTTGCTATTAAACATTACTATTGCATTATCGGTAGTTAATCTGTTAATCTCTTGAGAAATGATAAAACGAAAGTTACCGAAAAATTGGCGTGTCCTAAATTCAAAAACACACCCGGACAGAGTGTATTATTTTAACATGAGAACAAAACAGTCTTCTTGGGAAGAACCAACAGAGGACCATCCCGAACAAGTATTTTATTATTTAACTTTTTAATTATTTTATTATTTTGTATTTATTTCCTATTTTAACAATTTATCCCATATAGCTGGCATCTCGTATGACTTCGTTTTTCAACATTTTCTTATGTAATTTTCTATACACATGCTGAAAAACACACACAAAGAAAAAGAATTTACAGAGGATAAAAACAAAGATTTAGTTTAGGAGATTATGCAAGATTTGTAATTTTGCTATTAATAATTATATTCTTGTTTTGTTATTGGTTCAAAATATTCAATTTGTAATATGTAAAATAAACGAAATTTTTTATATTAATAAATATTTGTTGAATTTTTCTGTTCTATTTAGCAAAGCAAAGTTTCATTTTAAATTTACTTTTGTCATCCAGGTCACAGAAAAATCACCAGAAGATGTTGGGAAACGTAAAAATTCACTCCAAGATGCGGATGTTTCTAAATGTCAATCTAAATTACCTGAAAGAAAAACTAATGAACGAAAAAAACTTGTTGCTAAAAGGTCTCTTCGACAGACACAAGAAAAAACCAACGAAGAAAAAGAGACTCCACAGATGAGAGCTATTCGTGAAAAGATGCTTAAGAAGAAAGAAAAAAACAATATTTCTAAAATCCAAAGTCAAAAATATTCTAACATAAGATCACCTTCAAACTCTAATAAAACTACTTCATTATCATCAAATTCTGAGAGTAATACAGATGTAAAGACAACTTATACACCACAAATGCAAATGGTTCTTAAGAAAATGCAGGACAAAAATTCAAATAGTACAACTAATATAAAAATGACAGAAACTAGTGAAAACAATAATAATAATAATGTTAAGTCTAAACGGTTAAGAAATAGGAGTGCATATACTCAACGGAATACTAATTCAGACATCTCGCCTACTTTAGAGAGTAGCAATAAAAACAAGGAACAACAGAACCTTGGTAATTGTATAGTGAAATTATTTTATATTGTACTTTATTCTTTTATTACTTTCAAAGTAAAGTCAATTATTATTTACATTGTTTTGAATTACAGATACATCTGACAAGAGTGCAATAAAAAAAAAGAAAGATGACAATAATTTGGCTGAAGTCATATCTAAAAAACGAACTTCTAAGTCTTTTAAGAAAAATTTGGGAAAGGAACGCATGGAAGAACTAAGAAGAAGCTTAACTCTAGAAGTTAGCAGGAGTGATAGTTCTGAATGCGACAGTTCATTGCAGAATCTTGTCTCAGTAAAAAAATATGGTAATACTTTTGGTAATATTTTATGACTGGAAGTTAAAATTTCATTCTGTTATTATTATGATTACAGTAAAGAAGTTGCCAAATATTCATAAAAATGCAGAAGTTAGGCTGACACGGTTGAAAGATAGATATTCAACCAATAAAATAATTAATAAAAGTTCATGTAACAATCAGCCTGAGGAAACAGAAAAATTACCTATACAGTCTGTAACAACAATAGACGACCTAGTGAAACAAGCCAATGAAGAATCCTTTTGCGAAGAAATGGATTGGGAACCAATGCCAGATGAGAAAATTACCTTTGAAGTAATACTACATACATGCTAATAAATATTAATGCATTTTTCCCTAAAACTACATAACCAAACTTTTACTAATTTACTAGGACGTTTATTTATAAATTTAAAGAAATTAAGTATAAATTTGATTTTCATTACTTAGGTCCAGGCTGTCAGATCACAGCTTTGTACACAAAATAATGCGGATATATCGTGCAGCATAACTAACAACGTTTTAAATTGTTCACCATTATTAAAACAGCAAGGAAAGAGGCAATTGTACATTGTTGTTGATACAAACGTATTTTTGTCAAATATTGAAGCTGTTGAATCGGCAAAAGATGTTACTTTTAAAAACTATGATCAGCCAGTAATTGTAATACCATGGACCGTTATACGCGTAAGTAATATAATAATAGTAAAAATAATAACCGTTAACACTGAAGCAGCCTGCCGCCTCCTCTAATTCTTAGGTGAGGTTTATGGTAGGGCAAACAATTCTACCTCGATCAAACACAACGTACTGTAGTCTCTCTTAGTTACATGTGTAACAGACATTTACAAAACGAAAAATCACAAAATCGTTTCATCTTCCATCCGGAATCATTAGCTTATTTGGGAATACGCGAGTCCGACGTTAGTTTGTGATTGCATTTAACGGACACCGCGCGCCGCAACAATAACATTATCTATTACTAGACCTTCGCAAATTAATGTTTTATTACAGGAACTTGATTACATTAAAGGCGGTAATGGCAAAACAAAGTCACCAACGCTGTCCATGAAAGCAAGAAATGCTATAAATTACATTCATAAACTCTTTTCTTCTAAAGATCCACGTATAATCGGTCAAAGACGGGAAGATGTTGCAAGAAACAAAGAAAAATTTATAATTGATTGTCCAGACGACGAGATTCTACAGACATGTTTACAAATTCGCGATTTGGAAAAATCTGTAGTAAGTTAATGACTATATATAATACATGTGTAATACATACATTTTAGTTAATATACATATATGCAATTTTAAGTTCATGTTTCTATTTCCAATGTAGGTTTTATTATCATACGATATAAATCTTTGCAATAAAGCGATGGTTTACGATATTGTGACACTCGGAAGGAACGATCCTCTCGAAAAAGTCGACTATTTGAACATGTCTAAACATTCAAATAATTTGTCTCGCAACGATAACGAACAGGATAAAGAATCGAGTTTAAACCCTGTATCGATTTTAAATCAGGAACTACGTATATCTAATAAAATATGCGACGATGCAAAAAATATAATGAAAGATTTTTTGACAGTGGCAAGTATAATAGGCACAAATAAAATGTTCATGAAATACATGATGTTATAAAACAAACACTGTACGACATTCATAAATAAATTTTTTGCAGATAGTTAGCAAAGAAATGTATGAATTGTATGGAGACACTTGGCAGAAGTATGTTATTATAAAACCACCTTGGACAGTTATAACTGTTCTACAATGTGCACTTAAGCATTGGATAGCTGCAGTAAGCGAATCATTTTTAAGAAAAGCAGAAGATATTCTGAGAGAATTGCTACAGATATTTAAAGATGTTTCTGGTAATTTTATTAATTTTCTTGTAGCAACGGGGTGGCGCGCTTCGTTTAGAGTGTCTCCAGTGATGTAAATACAAATTTTTTTCATAGGTGAAAGAACATTAAAGGATGTTAAGTATATCTTGGATAGATGCAGTGATCTGAGCCAGATGGTTAATATAGATAAATATCCCAATTTGATGCAACAAGTCTACCAGAAAATTGATGTAATTGATTTTAAAATTGTTTAAATGATATTATATCGAACTTTTATAAAATTATTTATATTCGTAATGCCATTTTTTAGGAGTTGAAACAAAAGTGTCGCGATTTGGAATCTCAGCTACTTGAGGAGAAATTACACGATGCGATTGGAATTGAAAATAATATCGAAGAACGTGAACGTAGAGCGCAGAAAGCTTTTCAGTATTTTGAAGCGGCATACATTTTTGCTCGTGACATGTGGTAAATTTTTCAACTAAATTTTTTCTAATGGGGTATCGAGGAGTTGCGACAACGATGTTTGTTTGTTCATGCATACTGTCATTTACGTTATACAGTGGATTGTCAGCTGAAGCAGTGGGAATGCCGTGTGGTTTTCATTATATTATTCCAAATCCCCTTCCAACTCCGGATTACCTAAAGCAAATACAGCCTGAGTTAGCAGCTAATGTAAATAGACTGTTGCACACTCTAAGCGCGTGAGTAATTGATTAGTGAATTATTTTCTAACGATACTATTTATGTAGAGTTGTATCACTAAATAAATTAACGCATCACGAATAATCCTTTACCCATTGAAGAATTTATAACGGACATCAAATACGAAAAATAGTTGATAGTGACTTGTTCCATTTTTTTTGTAATGCATTAACGTGCTTACCGATACGATCGTACATTACCGTAATAATAATTTTTGATTTCAGCGCGATGGAGCAAGTTCACGATTCTCGTATCGATTATCGAATGATAAACAACTTACATCAAACTTTGATAACATTTCTCCCAGAGACGAAACAGGTGTCAAAGAAGTTTGATAACGATGATTTAACGCCTCTCGACGTATTCTGTTGCATGAAACAGAAAGAGGAGGTGCTGAAAACAGGTTTGCGCCAGTTACAAGAACTCAGTACACATTTCTGTAGACTAACAACCTATAGATCTAACTAAGCGTACACACAAATCGATACAAATTTCACTGATTTCGGTTATACTTTGCTAAAAAGTATGTATACATGTTTTGTTTAATTAACGCCAGTGTCACGGCTGTACCGTGTCACTCAACAACTGTGATATTCTTTGAACCAGTTAGTTGTGTACTTGTAAAAAATATGAAGTAAATATTTAACAATTTTTTATTAACAGTTCTATATAATACAAGAAGTAACTTTTGTACAATGACAAAAATAAAAATACACAGCCAAAATTACAAGCGGTGCTGTATCGAGTCCCTCGATTATCTTTTTGATAAAGTACGCTCCGATATCGGTGCGTACCTTTGAACGAATTTAATTCCTGTAAAGTTTTGGAAATCCTCCCGGAGGTGGTTGTAGCCAGTTTTCCTTCGCGTAAGACACGTGCTGCGTTTCGATCACGTGAAACGTATACGCATGTCTCGACTTGTCACTCTTATTTGGATACGAGAAATGTACAACTTGTCCGTGAATTAGGATGCAGGTACCTTTACTGACCGGTACCGGTCGGAAATTACTAAGTTGATAACAGGGTGCCGCGCTGTCGTAAATTAATAATTCTTTGGAATCTGCATCCTTATTCCTTAGATAACGTCTATGTACACCGCTTTGATGGGAACCTGGCGCGATCCATAGGCATCCGTTTTCCTGAGTAGCATCTTCCAGCGCGATCCAGAAACCAACTAGTTTCATTGGATCGGTGTATAGGTACGTCGCGTCTTGGTGCATGATAACTGATTAAAAAGAAACCACATCGATATTAAGTTAAAAAGACATGTAATTCGGATTAGATTGTAAAAATCAATAAAACGATCGAGACGTTTCATTTTATTCGCTTTTTTTTTAATCCCCGTTTTATTTTACCTTCCGAACCAATGCCCGGATTTTTGTACATGTACATCGATTGGCAAACAGCTGGTTCTTGATAGTCCAACTGGAAAGCTGCCTCCTTCACCCTCTCGTCGAATGTGTATTTTTTGAACGTCGGATGAAGCCAGTGAAGCGCATGGCCTACCTGTAGTTTCGTTAAATCGATTTGTCACCGATTGCCAATGTATTATATCGACATCGAACATTACCTTGTTTAAGGATATTCGGGGATGGACTTTCAGTTTCCCGTCGTTGTCCAATGCTTCGGATTCGAAGAAAACACTAATTTTATTACCGCTGTCCAGGAAGTATTTATCTTTGGTCTGAAACGAATCACGATTTCGAAATTTAAATGTAGAGACGGATGCAAACGATTGAACCGCTTCGTTCCGTTCTATTCCCACCTGTTGCAATTCTACCGTGTTGAAAACGCTTCGTTCGTTTTCCGGTGGCAAGTTATTTGTGAACTCCTCGCCGCAAAATTTGAGCTCGTCGACCTCTTCCGGTTGAAGGAAGTTCTCCAGGACGACGAAGCCATTTTTTTGAAACTTTTTAAGAAGGGGAAGTACATTATTTTATGACGACGAACAGATATAGTGATATACTTATGAATACATGGAGCCCACTTTCAAACTTAGCAAGCAACTACACACACACACACACACACACACATATACTGATGTGTCCAAAAACAACGAGCCAATATAGTAAATCTTCCCTAGGAGGCGCTAGTTCGGATTTAACAGCTACACTTATAGATAGAATTGCCAGCAACCGGGACAAAATGGCTGACACTGTACGTGTAGGAGGGTAAAAAAGTGATAAGTCACGTTACTCAACGACGCATCAACTATGTTATGTTATTTGTTTTAACACACGTATTTGAATAAATTTCACTACAAACAAGCGACATTATTATACGAATATTTATGTCAAGTCGTATGACATAGTTAATGCGTTACGAAGTCCTCCACTCTTCTGCTCTTTAAATGCTCCACCCCTGTATAGATCGATTCTGTTAATAATGTCCAAGAACAACATCGTCGTCCGCTTCGAGGGATAAACGGAATCCTCGGAGCTTCTCTTTTCTCTTCCGTTTATGTACCCACGGAAGTATCAAATATCGCGATCATAATATATAAAATTTCCCAGATCAATAAGTCTCCCATCCTTCGCTTTTCTCGCTTTTAATATCCCCCATTTCAGCGCCATTGTTCATTTAGGTCTATGGTCTATAGTCACCCAGGTTTATGGTCATCAAACTTCATGAATTTTTATGATACTGATTAGAATAACATTTTTATTTTGATATTCTTGCTAAAAATCTTATAACATTTTACTGCGGTACTTTGTTCAATTTTTCTATTTTATTTGATTGTTTATTGGTATTCGATGTATTGGTATCCACCATAGACGCGTTGCAATTGGTCAGTAAATCGTGAACAGAAGGAAGATTACGTTCCATTGTTAAGGAAACTCGGTATATGTCGTCTTCCGGTTCGAAACACAATATTTTCCTTTCTCTCTCAGTACAACGAACATTACTTTGTTCCGCGATCATAAAAATACCATATAACAGGTTTGACAATGCACCATACCCTAAGCTCAATATTTTCCATCGATGTACTGGTCATTTTGACGCTTTTGCCATTTGTAGTTACCGCGGAAGAAAGTACAATTCTTTATCGCGATGCCCTCGGCCGTCGTTAAACGCGACAGATAAGGGCATAGAAAGAAACGGTCGATAGTAAATTTTTCTAATATATAACGGTTGGCACCGTTTGTTTTTATCGCGAACTTAAACGGCCCGGCGACGTGTTTGACATTAAACGCGATCGATATAATTTGCGTTGCTATAAATGTTCCGAATAAATTAAGCCCTGTTGTGCATCAAGCTCGACTTGGCTCCGACTCCCGTGTTGCTGAGAGCTTATCGAACGCGCGCCAAAAATGTTACTGTTTCGATTACTCAATTCGATTATCGAGAATGTACGTAGGTACGGTAATAATTATAATTGCCGAAGTAAAGCAAGTTCGACTAAGGGTACTCACATCGCTTTAAAGTTTAGGAAATTATTTTTTTGTACTTTACAGGTGTGGGATATTCGAACTACAACAAATGTTTAAATGGTCTTCCGTTGCAGTCTAAAAGCGAAACTATGTTCTGGTTAAGTTCATGCACGAAAATAGACGCGTAATCGTTCGACAGGTGGGTGGAGCTTGTACGTGGTTGCACACAGTGAAATCACAAGTGCCGAAATAGACGTAAATGTAAGAACATTTAGACGGAAACGTTTAGTCCCTTTATATTTATGAACATGGCGTACTCTTAAAAATTTAAAGGTGCAAGATTGAACAATTGGAGAAATAAAAAGCAATCCGAGTATGGTCATGTTTGGACTCATATTAATCGGTAAAGCCTTGTCTATCTATTGGTAATACTACTACGAAGATGTAACGAAAAATCTAGAATTTTTAGTTTTTAATAGGGTGTTCGAGACATAAAAAATATTTGGTTGAAAATAGTATCTAACGCGTCGATTAAAAGTTCCATTATTAAGACGGATCGTCTGGGGGGGTGGGGGTGTTCTCTTACGGAGAAACAATCGGGACCAAGATCTCGTCGTTACTTGCGTCTAACGATCGCGTGAAATCCGGGCTCGTGGACCCGTGAAAACTCGAAAGACTGCGCCGTGTCCATTCACGAGGAAGAATGAACGCCCACGCGGGCCATTCTATTCTTGGTCCTGGCGATTCACGCTCACTCACCTGACTCATCCGCGAATATCTGGGATATTTTTTCAAGTATTCGAGGAATAATTTAATTCACGGAAGATGGTCATTTAATTTAGCCAAACATTTCTCTTCGATGGAATTATATGTACGAAGAACACAAAAAAAGGGAAAAAAAACTAATCGGAGGACGATATATTTTCCGATTACATCGCCGCCGGGTTAAACATCGCGAAGATCTAATTCGCTGATCTGGTCGAAGCGGATCTACAGCCGGGGTCTCGGTTGCTTATTCAGCGACCGAATATCTGCAGAAGGAAGAGACCAACGAACGTTAGATTATCGCGGAGCCATAGATCAGCGCGCGGAACATTTCGTGGCGATAAATTATCATCGGTGACGGGTCTCCGGCTCTTAGTAAACAGTGTTTGCCTAAAAATACAGCGCGTCCTAGTCTCGCTGACGCGCCACCTTTGCTCGTTGCTCCCCCAGGGTCTGTTCAGAAGTTCCCTGGGCTGGAATTCGAATCCCGGCTTTCCGGGTTACTTGGACGAGTTGTCACGAATAGCCGAGCCGAACTAGAGCGTTTCGAGGGTATTAACACTTTGACTGTCATGGCGGTCACCGACGACCACCTCAGAATCTCACGGAACCTCAAACTCACGACGATTAAACGTCTAAGGGTGTAATTCTCGATTCGGAGGGATAGGTCGTTTTTTTTTTAAATTTTAGTTCAACTTTGCTCTTCACAGGACCTTTGAAAATTCCTTGTTTTGCCATAAGCCACATAATTTCAGTCGTTGTTTTCTTTTTGAAACGAATCTACAATGCAAAAAGAGAATTGAGCGTATACCGTTTGCAAGTGGATTTTTACACGTCGATTGTGCTTGGGGGGAAAAAAGGAATGAGAAAAACCAGAGGGACTGCAAGTGTTTGAACGCAAGCTATAACGAGGGGGAGAGAAGTTTTAATGAAGAGACGTATGTAGAGCGGAGAATACATGTATTAATCTTTTCCTGTCGGCCGGTGGAAGGCGCGCGTCATTTTAATTGCTCCTCGATGCCGCACCGTAATTACAGATGTTCCGACGGACGAGAGAATGCAATATTAATTTTTCCGTGTCAGAATTTTCGTCCGACGTGCGCGATAAGGCCGACGCCGCTGACATTTCACTGGCGTCGCGGCGCGGAATTAATTTCTCGGCCCCCTCCCGGAAAACCCACTATCCCGTCAATTGTCATTTGACCTTCGATCGCATAATCGCGATCGTTGGCATTTCGCAAATTTCATTCTCGTAAAACAGCTTTTGGTTAAAAGTCAAAGTTAACTGAGTATGGTCGATAGTGAAATAAGCAAGAATTGCGAAATTCAACAGCTTGCGTCCCCCGAAAAACGGGGAACCAGCACGACTAAAAAAACACCCTTTTAGTTTTACGTGGACACCATATTTCAATTTCAATAAAGTTTCTGATATCGACTGGAATAATTGATCGATTTGGCGTGGAATGACACGTACGAAGCACGTGACAAAAAGCCTGCGCTTCGTGTTTCAAAAAATACCATACTATGATTACTTCAAATGAATGAAATACTGTACAATTTATAATTTAAATTCTAATTTTATTCAACGAGTAACGAACTAGTAGTTTATTCTTTAATTTTTTTAACTAATACTTTGCATCTGGATACTAGAGTTTTGTATCCTGCGACTTTTGGGCGCTTGAATTATACCAGTGTCCATGAAGACGTTAAGATCGCGTGGGACGGTTAGAAATGGCTTTTTGTCGTCCAAGTGCGAACGAGATAACGCGCGTAGGTCTCCCTTGGCCGTCTAATCGTCACCTTAACCGGAATCTAAAAATGGAACCTCGTGTGCCGGCAGGGTCGAAAGATGGCAGCCGGATTCGGACCACGTGTACCGATTGCTTACGAGGGTCTCGACGGGGCTGGGCAAAATCTAGATAAAAATTTCAAACGATCGAAAAAACAAACAACTCTTTCGATTGTTGGAAATATTTCGGTTCCACGAACAAATACAATTTTAATTTTATTAGTGCGAATTTCTACGAGCCAAACGCGAGGTAGGTTATAGAAGAATAAAGAATTTTGAGTTTCAACGGAAGCATCGATGTTTTGCAAATTCGAAAGGGAGAAAGAGAGAATTGGTCGGAACACGACTGAAAATTGCGATATAATTAACGAGATACCAATCGAACTGGAAATAATTTTCATCGATAAAAGCGCGAATAAAATGACATTGATGCGAAACGTTACAAATATTGGGTATACCGGCGATATATCATCCTGCGCAAATAATAAGTTAATTAGTTATACTTTGCCGGATAGACGAATAAATAAAACGGCGATAATGTCAACGTCAAAATGTAGCACAAAATGACGGATGACGTCACTGCGAAAATCGACGATAATTCGGCAATAATTTCTGCGGCCCACGGCTAAACAGACATTATTTACACGTAATACTAAATCAGCGGCGACAGAGCGATCGTGCGTGCCAGACAATGCTGTCACATTATTAACAATTCTTAAGAGGATCGGTTGAAACGTCGGTAATTTCATAAATTGTACCAGCTTATTGTTCGATATATTTTAAGCGAAAGAGATATTTCTGTTTTCATTTATTACAGGTTAGTAAAATATTAATTTATAATGCGTTTTCCCGCGAAATGTTTCGGTACTTCCGGTCGGTCAAGGCGGCTGCGTCCGAAAAAGGTCTCGTGCGTCAGAAGTGATACACGGAAGCGTGTCACGGTAGACAGCCGTGAGTCATTTTTTATGCACTGGACAGGGAATGGGTTTAGTCATCGGCTCGAAGCGTCTTGAAAGCAATTAAGGCGTTGTGTCTCTTCAATGGCGTCGAAACAGACCGGGATTTTCATGAATTTTGTTTCCACGAATAGAACATACGATAAGCTTTCAAAAATCGTTGCATCACCGTTAAAGAAGTACATCTCGAACGGAATCGAACAGTTTTCCTCTCAAAGCACGGTTATTTTTGCGACGAGTCGCATATATCGACGCGTTTGGGACGCTGAACTCTTCGAATCGCGAGGTCGAGAGCTCGATTATGTCAGTCTTGTTCGATGACGACACCGACTGATCGGGCATCGAACGGTGCAACAAGTCCATTGGTCTCCTCGTCTCTGATTTCGTCGCCTTTTGCCGAGGGACATCGCAGGCGATTCGCTCTCAGCGAGACCGTATATAGCGCCGCGTTCGATCCGAGGATCGCTTTAATCGGCACCGCGTGCCCGGCAGTTTCGACCCGAGCGATCCAAGGGTCACTCTATCATCGTGCCAACGAATAATCGTTTGCTTTCTTCTTTGGCTCGATACTAAGCTTGTAAACAACGCAAGGATCAAAGAAACAGCGTTGTATCACCGGGAAAGTAAATTACGATTATTTAGGAACAATTCTAGTAATTACAAGAACGTTACAACATTTAAAATTAGTTAAGAATCAAATATGCTGATGGGTACAAAATTTGTAAAAATATTAGTACTCTCACTAAGCACGAAAAATCAAGGACGCTAAAAGTTCTCGGTTTTTTCCATCGAGGCACTTTAGTTGACGTGATTCTTCAACGAAATAATTATTTAAGAAGAAACACGTAGATAAGTACGCCAATTTGTTAGTGATTTTGGTTAAAAGACCTTCGGAAGAAGAACAAAATACTACGAGAATGTTTCTTATTCCACGACAGAAACGCTTTCTTTTTTCCTGTAGTGAGATCGGGAACTCCAGATTAAAGAACATTGCACTAAATGAACACAGAATATACAAGGTGAGTCTTGCTAAATGATCACTTCGAATGTTTCAAGGAAAAGTTGCATTGTTGATCGAGGGACACACGATTCTCCATTCTTAGACGCATAAAATAAACACTGTTTTAATAAATAACAAGTACGTTGCAAATTAAGTAGTCGTGTCAACCGTGATAATAACGTTTCCATAAACCGTTGCTTTTAACGTGTTCGAGCTACTGAAACTTTGTCCGAAAATCGCGCGCCAAACGGTCACGTGTGTGCTGGCTCGTTATTCTTGGAGGAATCGCGGTCGCGGAAACGACCGTCAAAATTCCGCGGTTTTGGCATCGCGTTTCCACGTGGTTCGAGAGCGTACGCGGCCTCGAGCCTTGACTTTTGCTCGGGATAAGTTAACGGGGTCGCGCGAATGCCGTGGGTAGCTCACCTGCGACCGGATGTCCTTCATTCTATTACGTCCGTCGCAGCCGGTCTCGCGCTGGTCGGTTGGATCTGCTGCAAACAGCCGAGCGAGCTCGTGAACGCGTCCGCGACTGAGTGATCCTACGAAATGACTAGGTGAGCCGCGGCGAGGCCCGACTCGGGTCGAGTCGCGCGGAGTCGTGTCGTGTCGGGGCGGCGGCAAATCGAATCGGGTCGTGTCGCGCGAAATCGTTTAGCATCGACTCGGGTCGAGTCGGGTCGGATCCTCGGGCGCAGTCGCGCGACGTCGTCTTTCCCGCGCTGACGGAATGGAAGGTTACGTTTGCTTACCTTTCTATTTATATCCTATTATCAATGTTTATCAATGCCCTACCGTAATCACGTTAACGAGCATAAACACCAACGTACATATGTATAAGCAAATTCCGAAAATAGTCTTTAATTTCACGATCAAAACTCGAAATCTTTTTATTAAATTAAAGTACTTTCTTCCGTTGTAGGTTGGACAACTCATAACGCGACGTAGAAAATTTTTAAACTGGTGTCGGCAACCTTCTTTCGGACAGGGGCTAGTGACCATGCGAGTGAATGGATGCCTGGCATAATTCATCTATAGTTAATAAATACTTCTCGCGTGCCAACTACCGCTAGTCTCGTTACCTACCTGTTCAAATTTCACCGTATTTTCACATTGCGATCTAGATCATAGACTATAATGCTGTTTACCCCGTTAAGCTATTTAGATAACTATAGACTTTAAACAACTATAGATTGTCACGTCCTGAAAAGGATTCAACGGTCTAAATGCTTCTATTTCCTATCCATGAAAGTATAGTACGCCCGTATAGATTAGATTACCGAGGCTTTCATTTATAGTAACGATAAAACATAACGAACTATTAATAATGTTTATTTCATTTAAGCAACATTCCTGTCGCGAAGTCATAAATCATACCGATTAATGGGATGCCCGATGCTGTTTATGCTCAATAAAATGTTTCACTTATAATTGAAAATTCGTTTTTCTTTAACGAATAACGGATAAATACGTGTCGTAATCATACATTTTGGAGCAACCTGTATTATTTAATTCAAATGGATATTACTTCGCCGGCTAGTATTAACTTAATTTCTCATCAGTTATGGTGTAATTCCAACGTTTAAATTCGACCCGGACAGGTACTCGTTAATTTCTATATTCCATCTTTTTATTATCCGCGAGATATTTAAATTCCATTCGAATGTAAATTAGTTAATTTCAATGGAATTATTGTTTTTTCTTCGCGCGGCTAACGTATCGTCATCGCGATACTGTTATTTAATCGTTGTTATTGCAATGTTATTCGTTTCCTTGCCTCCGGCCGCGTATCAAATACGATTCAGGGAAATTTCGCGATGAAATTTTAACTCGCTGTCCCTGAAACTTTAATACGCTCCGGAGCGTTTGAATTTTGCGAACGCCCGCGATACGTTCGGCACAATTCGGTCCATTGTGCTCATTAAAATTTCGTCAACTCGTTATCGAGGAGAGCATTTAAAGGATAATGGTAGAAAATGGGCAAAATCTGAGTTCGCCCGGCATCTAAAATATTGACAGAGTATAATTCTACATGTTCCAAGATATTGTAAAGCACAATTTTATATACTGTAAATGATGGGAAAGCGAATACATGAAATATGAAAATTCAAACGTTATTTTATTGCTAATAACCAATATTTATATCGTACATGAAAATTAGGTGCTTGCTCTAACTGATGAGATCCAGATGTGTGAAGTTTAAGGTCACTGATGGTTAGCTTTGGAAAATTATTTGTTATCGTTCCAAACGGAAGAGAATTTACAACATAATACATTAAACAAGTTCTACTTCCTTATTGCGTTATTCATAAGATATAGTTCTTTGATTTTGACCATGTTCTACCATTGTCCTTTGATTTAAACACGATCAGCTTACAAATTCTCAAGTTCCTTAAATCATCTTTCCATTGCTCTATCAAGCACACCCCCCTCCGCGCACTTAAACGCGACACGATCGAACCCTTAAACTTCGCTTCACTCTTTCAGCAGCTTAATTCGAGCAGCCACCGGTGAACTTTGAAACTTCAATCTCACTTGCCTTCGCTTAAAAGACGCTCAGTACCTTTGTGTTTAATTAAAAAAAACGAACAAAAACGAGAGGGAAAAAGAAACTTCCACTCGACTCCGAAAGCAGCCCCGACGAAATATTCAAATCCCGATCGATCGCGGAAGAACGCGACGAATTTTACCCCCGGAACAAAGACGGCCGACATTCTATTCGAGCAACGGACAACCTCTACTCAATTCTTTCCTTTTTAAAAATTATAAATTATTTCGCAAAATAGTTTTATCTGTGTCTTAAATGCCGAATAAACGGAGAAACGCTTGTTTATCTTTTGTTCGGTTTCGAAGTTTTCCTTTGGATAAGAATTTCGTGCGTTCCGCCCGAACGCGTGATTCATGTCGCCTAATTAATAATGGCGGAGCGACGCGGCTGCAAGAATATTTCGCGACGCGGTAGTAACGTGCGAAATGATATAAGGGACGCAGTGACGCGTCACCTGTACTGATATACTACACGCTGGCAATATAGTAATACCGCGATAAGCGACGTAATATTTTTCCGGCGCGGAAAGCCCGCGTCACGGGACAGATAAATCGCCCTTCTGCGCGATTTGACTCGGATAAATTATTTCTTTCGGGGAAATCAGCGCTCGGCCGTCATCGGGACACGTTTCGCCGTAATACAGTGCACAACAGAATCACGGATCCCCGATAGATTTCGCGGAATTAATGAAACACCGGGCACGGAAGAAGCCTCGTAACTTCATCAGTGACTAAAACGATGCGAGTTATTTTTCAAATCTGTATTTAATTTTGTTCAAACTCAGAACAGATTGGCGGGACTTGTAACGAGCCACAGTCGCCATTGTGTGCCATTTTTACCTATGAAAATGTCTCTGATGTTTGTCGCGAGGAATATAATGGTTGTTTAATGAAAAGTAGAATAATATTTTCTTTTATTCTTAGCGACTAGAAAGCCACTTAGAGAGGCAGATAAAGACGCAAAGAGCGAGCCTGGAAAGTTCGCTTCGCGTGGCTCGTTAATATGTTAATCTTACGAGCAAAAATCTTATTTTATTGGCGAACTCCGGTGGAACGCTTTGTCGCTATAAAAAAAAAAGAGAACGTAAACGATTATTGCGCGGAGATAAAACCAAGGGACGCATAGGGTTGACGGTTTTCCAACCCTTGCGTTCAACTCCGTCTTTTCCCATTCAGCGAATTAGTCGTAAGTTCCTCGAAATTTTAACGAATCGATCGTTACCGAATATATTTGCTGCAATAAATTAATCGCCTCTGACTACAAGCGTGGCCCTTGATATATTTATAAATTAATCTCCATCGAACACGAAATGGTCCGGAAGGTTATCACAATTTTCAGACCTCGTGAAACGATCTCATCAGCAGTACTGCCACTACAAACATAATACCGAAACGGATTATTTGAACGACGGATAACGGTAAAAATAATTATTCTTTTTCCCGGGGGTTAATATTTCGAAGCATTTCTGTGAGAATAAAATTCACGGACCGGGCTTCCTTAACGTCAACAAAGTAACGAATTATATCTCGGAGGCTCTTTCGCGTGGGTTTGTCGTCGTCATCGGTCCGCAATTCGGACGCCGTGATTATCAACATCCAGTTCGCTCGGATCTCAAAGGAGAGTCTCAATCATTGGAAGAGCATCCTGGAATATCTGCTTCCAGCGATCGGTTCCGAAAATACTTCAAACCTTCGTCGAACCGTCGAACCGTCTGCGGAGCATTTTATTGCATCGAATTCCGGCGTGCTAAACTCAGATGCATCGGATTGTTCCATAATTATTTAATCGGTTAAACGACGGTTTAATATTGTACGCTAAATGTTTGGGAAAATCCTAAAAATACGATACGATTTATCAACAAACTGGTCTGTCGGAAACTAATGGAAGACAGGGACGCAAAAAAAAATGGTTAAACTCGAAAGATACTTTGAAGGTAAAATTTTAAAAATTGTTTTACAAAATCCTTTGATCGAAATAGCGTTAAAGCGGGATAAAGTGTTTCGGTATATCCTGTACGAGTAAAAAAAATGCAAGGTTCGTCGAAGCGTGGAACGGGTGCATTTTTAACCGTGGCCCTCGAAACCGAAACGGGCGTCGTCGCTATAGTTGCGACACGAGGAAGGCCGCTTAGGCGGGCAGAATCGACGGGAATAAAGTCCGCGGGAATAGCGGGTGCCATTTGACTGCTGGCCAAGCCAGACCGTCGACTTAGTTTCTTTTTAGACCGTAAGGCTTAGCCGTTGAGGTGTTATTGCGCTATTAAACGCTTGGGCGTCGGTCTGCGAGACCGCGCCGCGGCGCGAAGGGAAATGCAACACCGACGCGCGATACGCCAAGGGGTTGCTCGCGTTTCCTGCGAATCTGGATAACCTGACGCGCGTACACGTCCTGGAATAAGCTCCTTGGTATCCTGCCAGCTGTTCGGGAAGACTTAAGGGAAAACACGGACCAAAAAGAACAACCGTATCTTCGGGAATTCTTTTCTGGGCTATAAATCCCTTTTTAAATCTCTGCCATCTTGCTTCTCCGTGTTTATATTAGATCCCTTCGAGCTTATAAGAATATCAAATAGTTGAAATTTTCTATCGAGCTTCGTCGATACTCTGCAACGCTTTATCAAACGGAATGGTATTTTTCCTATTAATTAATTTGGATTTTCTATTGTTTATGACCGCACTGTATTTTAAAATAAATTCTATATTACGTCGAGCAAAAATCTATCCGAATTCGAGGTTTGGCTCGCAGGAAATATTATTAAACTTTATTTGGCCCGTTAACTGCGTGGATAATGCTGAAAAATTCGTGGGTGACAAACAACGCGGCTCGAAACGAACCGATAATATAAATTTTACGGGATGAAAGGGACAAAGGGGTGGCGAATGGCGGATGACGTTCAAATAATTATTTGGGCTAATATCCCATGCTAGTAACGCGATTTCTTAATTATATTCATTAACCTGCAACTATGGGAACGCGCCGTATTTCGCGGTGGGACGTTATTACGACGACGTCGACGAGGATTCGCATCAAAATGGATTTAACATCGCGGCGAATTTAAAATTGACCCCATGGAAATCTAATTACCGAAGCGTTCGCCGCGCAGTGGTCGGAAATTCCGAAAGGCTGGCCAGATGTGTTTTTTTCGAACTTTGAATTCCGACCTTTGAACCGGCGTAACGTTATCAGTAACAGGTACTGTGCTGCACTATCAATTTCTACACTTCGTTCTCGCCGCGATCCTTTATCTTTCCACTGAACAGGAAATCGGGGTAAAATCTCGTGATTTGAAAAACTATTTAAATTCAAACTATTTAAAACAGTTTCGAAAACTTTTTCATTCGCGTTCGAATAAAATAAATAATACGTACTGGTTTTCGGAGAAAAAGTTACTTTAAAATTACCAACTATTATTACATTTAATTTACGTAGAAATAAATTTGAAATTAGCATTCTGGTTAGCTTTGTAGGATATTTGACGACCGCGCGCTGCTCAGTCGGCTTTTAATCGAGTTATTCGCATCGGGCTCAGTTTTTATTTGAAGAGACGTCGGTCAGAATTTTATTTAAATACATTTGTGATTTTTGGCGAATTCGCTGGATCATTCGAAGCGATGGTACGGGGTTGGACGGCGAAAGGGTGGCGCGATTTAACGAGCGGCAACCGGAAGCGATCCTTGTTTGTATGGTAAGCGGAATTGGCAAACTACGAATTTGAGAGGTAATAAAATGAACATCGAGCGCGTCATGCTCTAAAAATTCGTGACACACCTAGGAATGCCCCTGCACAGAGGCCGCCGTCCTGCAAAATTCGACGCAAGTAATCTGGGTCGTCATCCGATAGGCGTTGGAAGAAGTTTGCCAGCAGAGAACGCGGCCAAATTAATACTATCGCTGATGAAATTGAAGAAATTCTAATCCCATTTCCGTGGTCCAATATTTTCCTACTTATTACACCAGTTTCGTTCGGAGGCCTAGATTCTCATAATATTTAACATATTGTGGCAAGAAATTTCGTAAACTACATTTAATAATAATCATACAATTGCGTTATCAGAGGCGACCACGGAAAGATTAATAATCGTAACGTTCGAAGTAAAACGATTTAAAAATATTCCAGAAGCGGAATTCGCACGTGCCGTGATACGATTTTAATGCAAATATTTATCTGAAATTCAGAATTACTGACAGCGATAGAGTCGAGAAAGCAACGCAATACGGTCTAATTAATTCACGGAACTTACGAACGACTGAAATATTTTCCAGAGAATTTCTCGCGTTTAATGATACGAAAAGAATGACGTGGGCGGGGAAAAATTTAATAAGAAAGATTAGTTTACCAGGGTGGTCTGTCAGAACGACGCTAATCTTTTCCCTGGCCATGTAAAACGTAATGGTTTGCGTTGCTGGAGACCTCGGGACCTTAAATCGAGCACGCGAATAAAGAGTGATCGTGAATTTCAATAAGTAAGAGGCCACCGGAGTTAGGTTTATAGGTTAACCACTCTATTAGGCTCGCTGCTTGATTTTCCATCTCGTTCGTTCTTAATCAATTCGCTTGTCATCTCTCTTTGCGATCTGCTGGAAATTTTATTTCCAATTATTTCTGCCTCCCATTTTATCTTGCTGTATGTAAACAAACGGAGATCGTTTGCTAACTGCCCCGTCTATGTATACATAATTTGCGAGACAAGATTCGTATCAATTTTTCTTTTTAACGTTTTATCGGGCAGTTCGCTGGAAGAAAAGGTTTCATCGAACATCGAGAGAAAATTGTTCATCCCAGTGGTACGCAACCTTCTTCTACTGGATCAAATAAAATTGAATAATGTTTGCGAATAAACGCCTTGTTTTAGAATTGAAAACAAAGTTCGTGAGTTTGTTTTTATCTTTAGTCAACGGGTCGGATGAATTTAACGAAAGGATCGACTGGATCGAATTTGTGCAGCACTGCTCTGATCGAATGGATTCGTCCAATGTTGCAGGATACTCTATATTTCTGTAAAGTGGTTCCCAGTTGTTACCGTCTTATTGTAAGATTCCCTTTCTCTTGTTTACATGGAAACAACAACAACAACCTATTTCGAAAGTAAAGACCCTGTTTGTTCCGGCTGAGTCGATTGTTTGAAGATACGAGAGGTCGGATTTTAGGAGACAAGAATGAGACATCTCGAATGGTCGCTCGAAAAGCGACGTTTCAACGATGCAAAGATAGAAGATGCAAATACTGTTAAGGTTACCACTTGTTGTTCGTTGTAAATGCTCCTCAATTAACGCTTGTTTACTTCACGGTAACGAAAACAAATGATTTTGTTTCTGTACCAAACGTTAAGAAATTAGATCAGTGGTACATTGAAATAAGATAATTTTTTATCGCATCGGCGTACGATTTATTTTCAAGTTGTTCGATAAACTTCGATTCGAGTTTATGATGGTTTAGATTATTCAGAGCGACAAATGGAAGTTCAATTTAGACGGCTCAGATAGTTTTGATTACTATTGGGATGGGATACAAAAAGACAGAAAAGTTTTTTCGAAACGCAATTTTGGTAGAAGCTCCGCGATGGTATAGGATGCTTTCAGTGTACACAGGGAACTTCCAATTGCATTTATTTCGATCAAAAGGAATAGTCGATACTATCGTGGAGTATTGGAATCATGCTTGCTTCCTTACACTCGAAACTACGACACAGTATTCACATATCAATAAAATATTATCTCCATCGATCGCTGTACAAATATAAAAACACCGCTTTTGGATAATAATATCTAAATTTTAGGATGATTATTTAATTATTGTCATCAAAATGAACAATCTTGAACTTATGGTCCGCGCTTTCGACGGCAAAGCGACCAGCGGCGAAATAGTTCCCATTCTTCGCACTAGGCAGCGCCACTAGGCTCTTTCTACCGACGCTGCAGATATCTATTTATATTCAACTATTGTGTGTTTATGATTTCTCAAACGAACAAAGTAGCGGCAATTTTTGACGACGCCGGTAGAGAAATCCGCGAGCTCGCAGCGCGACATAATTTTACTTTTGCTCGGGATCACAAAGGGTTAATGGTACGAGTAATAATTCGCGATCCCGTCGGGCGTTGATTAATCACGATTACGCGATGCACGGCAACGCTAATTTCCCGTGTGCAACCTCGACTCCAGGGTTGTCTCGGATCGCGTGCGTGTCTGGTGCACGTGAACCAGGCTTTTGCATCCGTGACCACGTGCTGGACGCACGTGCACCGGCCGCAGGGTCACGCGCGAACTAAAAGCAGCCCCGATTGTTCGTTACTTGCCCTGTTAAACCCGATAATCTTCGGGAACTGTGCCCCGGAACGCTGCAACCGTGACTATTCCCAGCCGATGGAAATTGCTGACTGAAATTAATTATAACCAGGCTTTCAGAACTGTTATGATATAGCTTTCGGTTCTCGAAACGGTTACGGAAGCCGCTACGATACGTTATTTATAACACTTACAAGTGGAGAAGGTTCTACCATGTTTCGATTCCACTTTTAGCTTCACGCTATATCGGGAGTAATTTCGCATCGACAAATTTGAAATGTCGCTTGAATATGAGTCACTTTTTTGTTTACTTTCAACGTATCACGAAGAAATAATTGCTTTTGGAATCTAAATTGATTAGATATTTTTTTGTTGTAAACTCGTATCAAATAGTATCAATTTCTTCGCTGTGAATTTAGTAGATACTACGAAAATTGATTTTTTCTAGTCGCTAAATTCACCAATATTCGCTGAAAATTCGATCGTCTCGATTCTCTACCTGTATGCCCGAACGATCGGTTCGTTTATCTCTAAAAACGACGATCTTCGATCGACGTTACGTATATCGCACGCGCTGTCTCTTGACCTCAGATTAAGCGACCGGGAAGTCGACTGGATTGACCTCTGGGTCATTGGTACGATAGGAAGCAACACGTGTAACATATTTTTACAGCGTTACACTTATCGTTTTTCTTTCTTCTCCGCTCGGTATCGCAGGAATTCGCTGTGACGTAGCCGGTCGCCATGAGCATCTCGATTTGACGTTTCGAACCTTTTAACTTTCGCGCTGTTTAATTTCAAAGGTCGAGCCGACGACGAGCACCGCTCCAAACGAATTTCTTACTTCTTTTTGAAGTTTCAGTCGTTAAAAACAAATTTACAATTAACTACAAAAATCGATAAATTTTAAATCGCGTGTTCCTTTTCTTTATGCTCTATTATTACTACCCTTAACTTAAACGATACTCGAGTATTTGTTTACGATTCTTTCCACTTAAATTTTTCCCTGCTTTTCTGTGAAATGTTTCATTTGAAGATAGTTCGAGAATTTTAGCTTGCAGGTGTGAGTCCTGGAGAAACACAGAATATTATCGGGTGGATGGATCGAAGGATCGTAAGTTCGTAGATACGTGGTGAACGTACTGACTAACTATTTTCGACGGTATTGCGGTGACGCGTGGTGTGCATAGATCGGAGACAAGAAATCCTCGTGGTAGGGACTTGGAACCAGTTGTTCTAATCTCTTTCGACTGGCATATCGCGTGTCGAACCGCGGCAGTAGTACGCTCGATGTCATCGTGGACGTTCGACGCCTCAAGTCTCCTCTTCCTTCGACGATCCCTTGTTTCTACCCTTCTCGTCGCGCAAACTACCCCGAGGATCCTGGATCCATGATCGTTTGTCCCTTCGGTCTGGAACACGGTCGATCCGTAGTCGAATATTTCGTACATCGCCTAAACCTAAAAGATTCGTCTCTCGAGAAGAACCGCTTTTTCCGCTCGTTGTAATCTAGGTCTGGTTCGACGATTTATTTCCGCACTGAGCATGAACTTCGCTCGTTCGGAAGACGCGAAGGAACGTACGTGTGTAGTGAATTAACGTGTCCGTCGGTGGAAAGCATCGACGAAGATTGGTTTCCCCGTCTCTCGAAATCCATCAGGTAAGAAGATTCGAAATTATTTATCGATCGTACACGTTTTTAACGAGAATACGATTTTAGCGACAAGTCGATTACCTGAACCCAAACCTCGAACGAGTAAAAATGTTAAAAATAATGAACTGTTGTTCTTACGTCTGCCAAATCAATTACAGTGCCAGGTTCGAGACCAGCAGACAAATTCTGAAACTATGACAGTTGCGTTATTTCCCAGGTGGATCTTGTACAGAAATGCACTTTATCCATCAACGCATACTCGCCATTAACACTGGAACAACTAGCGTCGAGTATCTAATTTTATCACGTCCCTTCACTTCACCAGCATTTGAGAACGCGTTTCCAAAAAGTATACAATATAACATATTCTCTTATTTCGACAAAAGTAAATATACATCCAGATAAAATTATCTTAATAGCTTCCCCAACTTCAAGCTAGGAAATCTGTATCAGTTATTTTTTTTAGGGGTTTGGTTGTTCCAGTGTCTTATCAACGATACGAAACAAAAATTCTTGATATTTCTTTGGAAGTCTACTTAAACTTTGACCCTCGAACTAGATACAATAGACGCTCGATGTTTATTTACTGATAGTCAATCTGTTCCCTAAAAAAGATAACAGTCGACTCGCGTGGAGTTCGTCGGAGGCGCGATACACATTCCAACGAACGATTCGAAATATTCTAGCGCGAACGGCGGAGAAATCGGCGACGATATTTTTCTGACCCCAAACTGACAAGCTCGCACACGAGAGAGAGAGAAAAAAAAAAAGAGAACCACTCGATAAGACTCGTGGAAAAGTTCGTGTTCCTTAACCTCCTCGCTGCATTTCTATTAAGAGCGGAGCCAGCCGCTCTCCGCTGATCCAATTTAGTTTTCATTCAACGTGAAACCAAGAGCAATTTGAAAATTCTTTCAACGCCGTCCGCTTTCGCGTTCAATCAAACCGCAATTTATTCCGTTTCGTTCCGCCGTCGGATCTTTCGTGCGGCGTGGGTTATTCGTTTTCAAAAAGAAAAACGAAAACAAACGTAGAACAAAAATAAAAAAAAAAAAAACACGCTAAATTTGTATAAAGCTCAGAGCATGTTGCGCTGTAAACAGAACTTCGTAAAATCTGATTTCGCGTTTAACCCGTGAATAGCTTACGGGTGAGGGGGAGAGGGGCAGTTCTGGAAACCGATTTTCTCGAAACGTATTTAATTGTTTTTAAATAAATCGGCACGATAACGTCAATAATTTTACATAATAATAATGATAGTTTGCTATAGCGGAAGAAAGAAGGAATATGGTGGTAGTTAACTGTTAAGTAATTTAATTACTTTTGTCCACTATATGTGGGTACAACTAACCATCGAAATGGTCCCATAAATTCAAACCTATTTCAGAATTTGGCAAATCCATCGCATGCGGAGAACGCTCCGCAGGCGTCCAACGACTGTGTTCAGTAAACGCGTTCGCGAGCGTTCCACACAGGGCACGCGAGATAACAGCATCGACGGTCTTAAGTATCCATATTTTGGTATCTATCTCCTACGATTTCTGTCTATCGAGAAACGTTTCATCTCCGTTTTATTACACGCTCCGATTCTCGTACCCAGCTGCACGCCTCGCGGTCGCTATTTGTTTATACCCGAATGGCACCGTCCGATATAATTGCATCGCGTCGCGACGTATTTTTAATGGTCCGTGGGCGTGCTTAAAATAGTATGTCGTGTCGATAACCCGTCCTCTCTTTCGCTTTTCTCGGACTGGCCGTCTTGTCCGCGTTCTGATCGCACTCCCGTGACCCTAGTACTACTCGCGCCGTTATTCCTACTACTACTGATCTTGTTGCTATTACTGGATTGTTTATTAACGATGCCGCGTCGCCCTGGTTGCGTTCCAGCTATCATCGACGTCGATTAGTTTCTTCGACGCGCTGCTGCCCGCCGTCTTCCGAAGCGGCTTCGAATTTGGGACGAGATCAAGTTCAGAATGGTCCAGGATGCCCTATTAACCCCCTGACATTCACAATTTTACAAGCATCATACTTCGTTATAAACGATTTTGCCCGAGTTTCCGAGTTTTGTCTCCTCTGTACGTAATAGTTCCCTGCCAAAAAAATCATCCAAATCGAAAACTATCCGATCGAAGGCGACAAAATATTCCGCAGCATAGTCGAGATTCGAATGTCTCGAGCCGCCCTGTCGTCGGGAACTGCCAATAAACGGTAGCCAGTATTATTAACGCAATTAGAATAATCGATCGCCAGACGGAGGTTACTGGGCGTCGATATAGTCGTCGTTAATAATGCCATTATTACGGCAACGCGGTGGCAATGATGTAAGGTGACGTGCAGCAATCTGTCAGAGAGCTACGAGACGCGCATGTATCGCACCGTGAAATCCTGCTTGCGTGCACATCTTCTACGGGCTGGTTGTTCTACACAGGAGTCTTGACATACCGACGATAGAAGGCTGGGACGATTAAACGACGACGATTCCGCGGGAACGGGGATGGGGTATCTGGCGCGTTGAGCAGCTGACGGGATTCGAAGGACCTGATTTAAGGAGAACGCGTCCTTGCGGCGACGTTGAATACCGTAATATTGTTCCCGTCCGTGATTCGACGTGATAAAGCGACCGGGGAATGTTGATACGCTTTGACGAGTCGCTCGATGGGAAGCCTCCTTACAGGGAAACTGCATCAACGCGTCGATGCCTCTCAAATATTCACTTTAGAAGAAATATTTGTCCCCCAATCGATTTTTACAATCGACGTTTCAATGTACTGTTTGACTGTACCAAGATGCGCCACAGAGGGCGGAGTCGAGCCGTGCCCCGCCCATCCGGGTCGATCTTTCGTGTTCCCGTCGATAGCGCGGGGGTTACGGCCGAAAAAGCGAACATAGGAGCGGGGAAACTTTTGATAAAATCGCCACGTAGTAGCTTCATCCGCAGGACTACGACAAATGCTCCTACGAGAAGCGCCTTCGAGGAAGTAATCGGTCCAATTTCAATTCCCGCAGTAACCCGCCATTCTCGGGCGCGTTTCTCTATTCAACGAAGTCCCCGAGTCCGCCGGCAATTGAATTCGAACGTGAACCGAGTTACTCTTTATTGATTCAAAGTCAGTGCACTCCTGTCACGGCTCTGAACTTACTATTCTGTACTCACGATCCAGAACGCGGCCGATTAAGGCGAATCCAATTCGCGTTTCAGCGAACGTTCGATACCGCCCGACCGTTTGTATCTAAATAATGCAGACCTATTAATACGAGTCTTCGTTTTATCGTCGTCGCGGCGCTTCCCCCTCGAGTTCGCGGCTCGCGGGTAAACACGCGCTTGTTATTCGAGGAATATCCCCGTCAGATAGGACGGCAGGTCGTTCTTGCCAGTCCGCTACCGATTTTTGCCTCTGGCGATGCCGTCGTCGCGTCGATTGCGACGTTGCTGGCTCTGAAAAGGGCTCCAAGTGGTCGCCGTTCCACGAAAATTTGCGACGATTATCGACTCGAGCCTGGAAATGGCAATCGGGGGTGTCGATTCGCTCCCTTATTCGTTACTTCTTCTACGACTATTCGCTAAATTTATTTACACAAACACCTTCGCTGTAACAGAATTTTCAACTTCCGCCAACACAGAGAATACATTATTACCCGCTTAATTTATCGGAAAATGGCCGTAGCGTTTAACGAGTGTGTGCTAATTTTCGACTGAAATTATATCCTATGTTACCCTTTAAAACGTTATGTCTTTGTTTCGGTGTCTGAGAAATTTAGTGCCCGATTATGGGCTCGGGTAAACGCGAATTAAACGTATGACAAAGGGTTGAGGAGGTCTCGAGCGAAGAGGAAGACGGACAAGGAACGGTTCCATCGATCGATCGGCACAATCGAAAACAAGGATTGTTCCGCACCGGTTGGTAAACAGTATCATTATGTCATATGCAACTAACCAGTACGGTAACGATACTGTTACACGGTCACGTGTTGGCCTTTCTCTCCTCACGTGTAAATTATTTTCGTATCGAGTAGCTCGGTCCACGGATCGCCCCGATATCGGTCAGCAGGTTTCTCCGTGTCAACGCGGACCTCTCGATAAATAAATCGCGTATCGTTCTCCACCGTAAATCGCGAGTGGATTTCTTAACGTCGACGAAACAGGATTCTCGCGGGTAAATACAGAGGTCCCCGATTCGATGTCGACTTTTCGGTGGCTTTGGACGGAACTTATCTTGTCACCGTATATACCAAGACGGGCAAAGTTTAACTCGAGCAATAGATAGTTAATAATATCACGCTGCAAATAAAACGGCCTCAAATACAATTTCGATATTCATCGCTGTGGTATTATTTTAACATGTGGAGCAATTAAAATAAAAGCGATGAAATTGCCCACTTGTGGGTACATAAATCGGGAGATTGCAGTTGATTAAAATTGAACAATACACAGCGCGGAAGAGTAGCGTGTAATTGCAACAGACACGTAGATTTGTAGCTAATAGATCGTAATTGAATATAGATTATGCCATTTGTTACGGTCCTACGGTTTTATGGCTGACTATGTTGTCATTAACGATTACGAATAGCTGTACCGTGGCTCGCAATTATTCTACGACAGGAGTAATGTACATGGCGTTTAAGAAACATAGCTTTTCGAACTTCCGGATCGGAGAGTCGATCGAATTCTTTTTATTCGCGAACGAGCTATCGTGTTTCGAGTTTGTATTGCATCACCTGAATACAACCGATATCGTTTTACCATAATCATAGTTGCAGCACAGTCGATGTAGATTTCATTTATCATCGAAACATTCTGCGTACGAGAAAATATGAAGCTGTATACATATATTAAAAAAGAAATTTCCTACGACATTTCCTCTTTTTCCTTCGTATCAATACGAGTATAAATTTTTATTCAGAGCCGAGATCGTTGCGTTCGCGCATCCAGCGTTGCATTCGATTCGACCCAGTAACGAAAACGATCGCGCGGCCATCGATCAAATCGATCGTTCGGCGTCGCGTAAACGGTTCAAGGGGGAAAGCATCGGGCGTCGTCGGTTTGTTTTCCGCCCATTTTCCTACGATCTATCTACGCTGTACCACTTCGCGCCGCGATAACGGGCGAATTATCATTGTTAACCCGCTATTAGCGGTGCCATTACATTAGCGTATCGTCTAGCCCGCATTTATTTAAACACTGTGCCCCGCTCGCTGTTTAATTGCCGGAATTAATAAAGCATCGACGACGCGTTCTAACCCCCTCCCTTCCCTGCGCGTTATATAATAAATAATTAAAGGTCCGCGTTCGTGACCTGCCCGATTCGAAATCGTCCCGGCGAAACTAATCGACGACGATCCCTAATTTATTTCCCGCTTCTGTTGGTCGCGCGGTGCCGATTTCTATTAATCACGACCGACCCCGGAACGTTAAATAATCGCGGCCGCGACCGTAACGTTCCGAATTTTAATTCGATCCGATCGTTTCTCCACGCTGAATTAACTTTGTTTGACGCAACGCGAATTATTAAGAGCCGAAAGTGTCGGGCTTTCGTGCGTATTCAGTAGTACAGTACATATTTAGACCAACGACCACTGGGGGCAATGAGGACCTTTTTAACGCGTCAACCATCCATTAATGGATCTCTTCGCTAAAAAACTGAGACGTTACAGAAAGTACCACTGTTATTATCTCTATCATTCTTCAGAAAAATTTAAAAAACAAAATGGTTATAATTCAGTCTGCATCAACCCTTTCACAAAATAAAAACTGCCAGTATCGAGCGACAATTTGTCGAGAAATTCCCATTTTAATTTGCAATCCTCGACGTGGATCCCGCAGACGACATCTTTTCATCTTTTTGCACCGGGAACCGGGTGAGAAACAGGCCGAACGCGTCGGCCATTGAAAATAGTTGGCGTTCCGGGCATTCAAAAATATTTTCTCGTGGAAGTTGCTCGACACCCGGGATCTCCAGGGGATTTGTCGGTCCGCATTTGACCCTGAGCTCGTCACCGTCCCCGGCAGCCATCCTCCGCCGCCGTCGCCGCCGCGTTACGATTTATGAGGGAATTTTCGCAAGCCTGCCATCTTCCCGTAACGAGGTTCTTTCGGATCTTCGAGGTTCTTTGATCTCGAAAAGATTACCGGGTCGGTTGCTGCTACGCGCAGAACATTCGAGCGAAAAGCGCGCCTTTTAATTTCGGGACGGAATTAAAATCAGTCCTGAACGCGACGCCATTTTCTTTGCCCGTTCCTCGCGCGTTTCCGCGCGTAACGACCATAACCGCGTCCCCTTGTAGCTAATGACCTCCTTGGAAATTGGACCTTGCCTCGGATTAGCAATAAAAGCAATTTTTAATAAACTCTTCGGTTCGCAGAATCGATAAATAACGGTTACTATATTTTTCTACGAGGGAATTTTCAATTTGCCGTACGTATTATCGTCCCCGCGGAATTTCGCGGAGACAAAGACGCGTCGCCATCATATTTTTCCGCGGGGAGAATTCGAATTCCTCCCCGTTCTCGTCTTTGATAAACCACGGAAGTAAATATTGGACGAAGACAGGCTTGGGAAGGGTCCGTGCCTTTTAAGGGCTCCTTTGGCAGCCACCAAGTGGCCTTCGTTTCGCAATGAAGCTCCCTTTTGACCTAACGTTCATGGAGTGCACTCGTAATTCAACCGACTTTTTGCTCAAGGCGTCTTCTTATTCTCGTCATCGCGTTACTGGCGGAAATATCGAAAGATCCTCCCAGATTTTCTTCCAGCTCCGCCGACGGTGAAACTCGCGGCATTTTATGGCTACCGATAAAAGGGAATCGATACGAACGTCGGTCGAAAAATCGCACCAACTTTAAATTTGGAACATCAATTTCATTGTATTATCAAACCATTCTGACTATTCCTTAAAAATTTATGTAACCGTAGAGTCTGCGAATAAAACGTGCCATCAAGTTACGAGATACATAAAATGTCGATACTACGTTTTACTTGCATACCCTGCAGTTATTCAAACTTGCACCGTGACTCGAAGCCACATTCTAATAGGATTAGGGTTAATCCCGCGCCAACCAGTTTTTGGTCGTTAAATCCTACAAGGTTTTGGGGCCGGTTTGCAAGACGTTTTCGTTCGTTGTTATTAATAAAATTTCCGTGGCGTTGGCGAATAAGGACACGACTTGCTAAATAATCAGCCCCGCTAACAATTGCTGGGAAGCTAACGGTAACGCGATTGCGAATGATCACTGACGTTGCAGAACTTTTCGCAGACGCGAGGGAGTCTTTTGCGGACAATGGGAACAATGAGGAACAATTTTGCCAGGGTCTTTGTGCTCCTGCTGGTCCTGATGCCTCCGACGAGTCAATCTTTCCCGCACGGCAAAGAAAATTCCTCGAGAAGAAACAGTTTAGCCAACACTTTAACCCCGAAGGCTCCATCGGCGTCCACGACTTACGAGTGTCTCTTCGTGGACGAGAACCTGCCTACCTGCGACGTTAAATGGTAAGTTTCTAACATCGTTAGAAAATTAGGAGAACGATGTGTTTAATTTATCTTTTGCTTCTGGACAGTTTGTCGACATTTTTACGTGGATAAAAATACGCGTGTTTGAAGCATGATTGGTCACGATTTAAACTTAAGAAACGGCGTTCGCAGGATGCTGGGCGAGGACGAGGACGAGGACTCCGCGGATTTGACGACAGTTCGAGAAAAGAGAGATTTGAACGCGAAGCTTGACGAACTTACGGAGTCACGCCCGAGGGCCAAAAACGTCGACGCTTTTCCGATGACGCGAGTCATAGTTTACGCCTTCGAGGGTTGCATACCACCTATTCCACACGACAGGTATGATTTTCAATCTTTTCCCGATTTATTTTCACTCGGTAGAGGCAGAAGCTCGCAATAGTAGCGCCTTCGTTATTCGAATTTGAAGCATGTTCTTCCTCCTATCGAAACATTCTCTCACAGTGATTGAAATTAATTTGATTTATGTTTCACTCTGAACTTGGAACAGTCACGTGTAATTAGGAGCAAGACAACTTAATATAGCAAACATATTGAAAGCAGCGATTGCGAGAAGTTATTTTTAAATGTCGTCGATCAAAGTCTAACGCGACAAAAGAAAATACAGAAAAGTAAATTGCGAAGCACAACAAGACAAATTTAATAACTGTCTGTGCACGTGGTGTTAAATAATAAAACAAAGTCCAAATTATATATACATCCTTATCGCGTTAAAACGGTGGTGTACCACATATTAACGAAAACTACATAACAAATTATGGAAGATATTACAATTGGAGGATTAATCTAATGCATTTTTCTAAATCGTTCGACAGGTTGCATTTTTTGATGCCACTTTGCGAGGGAATTGCTCTGGACAAAATCGTGGGGGTGGAGAGATTTTATCCCTTCGCGGTGAAGGGTGTGAAAAATCCACCGTTTGTCTTCCCGGAAGTGACCCACGACCAATGGTTGCGCATGAAGACGCGACTTGGAAATCACGTTTCGTCGAATGCACGCAACGTGAGTAATCGAGCTTTTTTCCTCAAGAATTTATTCGCAGGAAATATTTCTGTCCAATCCTCTTTTCAATGCAACGGAGAATTCTTTAATTTCCTTGGCCAGTGTTCCGGACCCTATTTGCAACATGTTTATTTCCCTACTTTTATCGAATAAAGTATTTCTTTCATCAGTTTCTAAGGGGACTTCTAATTTCTTCGGAATTAAGGTTTCCTCCAATATTCACATCAACTCCGGAATTTTCTTTTCAATAGAATTCCTCTTTCATAACCTTCCATAGAATTTTCTATACTTTGTATCGAGACTGTTTTCTTCGATAATATTCTAGCCGTCTCTCGTCTGAATTTTCCTTTTTACCTACGGAATATTTACTCGGTTAATTTTGAAAAGTTCAGAAGATCGTACACGTTGTTACGATAAAATTATTAAGTACGTTTTGAACCTTGTTAAGAAAGACCATCCTGTGCTTGTATCGAAAATCATCCAGGAAGATGTCAGACGATTACTTTCCCCGAAGTCCAGCGGTGGTACAATCGAACTCGCGTTTTCTTTTCAGAAGAAGCATCGCGCGGCCATTTCCGCGGAAGCTGCGATCAACGAAACGTCTCACGGCCGCACGGATGAGCTTATGAGGGCAGCGACGACGAAGGAAACGATGCCGAACGCGATCGTCGCCAATACGAACGTCTCGAACGGATCGTCGTCGAGGGGGCTCATTCGTAGCATCTGGTCGAAACCTGCGGCATCGACGGGCACAGAGAGGAGGATAATCGGGGAAATCGAGCACAACGAATCGCAAACGTCTTACGCCACGTCGAGTATCGAGAACAGGAGCCGCGATCCTCCTAGAATTCCGAGCGACGCGTGGTCGAGAAACGGGATCGCCGTGGATCGGGGAAATAAAATGGAATCGCGACCGAGGAAGAAGTCCCGCGGCCATTCCAGGTGGAAAATTCCCAACAAAGCCGATCGTCGCCGAGAAATGACCGTCGTGGATCGTAAGAAGCCGAGCACGGACGATAAAAACGAGAATCTGGACGCGATTCCAGCGCCTCCGCTCGTTAAACCGCCGAGGACGTCGATCGCGACGAATCGCGTCGATCGCAAGAAGATGGCTGTCGACGAGACGGGGAATCACGACGATTCCAAGCACTTTTTGAAACCATTACTCGATACGCGGACGGAGGATCGTGGAATCGTGAACGGATCGAACGATCTGCTGACAGAGGAGCAAGCGATCGAGGAAGAATTTAGAAGGAAGAGAGATATAAGGCTGAGAGAGAAGGATTCGAACCAACTGATGGTAGACGAAACGAAGAGTCGAGGAGTCGGTGGTAAATCGTTCGTTCGACGATTCAGAAAGCTCGAGGGGAACTCTGAGATCGAGAAGTCGGTTCCTGATAAGTCGAGGATGTTTTTTAATGGACGCGGTATCGCTGGTTCCGAAAGTGATTCCGCGATTCCGAATCGTAGGACGAAGAGCCGGCCAATGAAAGGCACTGTTCGTGGAAAGATAGACGAGTTCGTTAACTTGAAAGCGACGTCGCGGAAAAGATCGTCGAAGGAATCAGCGACGAAGAAGAAGTATTGAAATTACTTGGAGCCGCTCTCGTCTCGAATGGACCGAGAGAAACGAGGGACATTTTTCTTGAAAAACTATGTAAGAACTAGGATTAGGATTAGGATTTCTCGTCGAACTGATCTCTATTCAAATGCTCGAACACCCAAGTGATTCAAATATATTGTGCAGTGATCGAATTGTGAGATTCGAACAGTGTGACGTGGATCGTTTCTTCATCGATCCTTTTTAAAACATTATGATCTAAGATATTATACGACATTTGTATGCTAGGAATAAAACTAGCGCGTTTACGTTTCACGGCCGTAAGTAACCCCAAACCATACGCTAATGTAAAACGTTTATACAAAATTGATTAAAGCAACGTTCCCCAATGTTGTATGAAAAAATCGTAATTAATAATTAAACCAATAAAATAGCGATAGATGAAATGATTGTCGTTTAGGTGAAGGTAACCCCACGTGGCTAAATTGGTTCCCTCTGCTTTACTATTTTACACGCATAGAGCCAGTAATTTCGTGATTCTGACGTAACGTTAAAATTATTCTTGCCTTTCGGGTCGTACAATAATAGTCGGGGGGGCCAGGTCCGGCCCGCGGGCCACGATGTGCCGAGCCCTGTTCCGGAAGAACGTGTTATTCGACGGTCGAATAATAGAACCTTCGAATCGCTGGCTGGTCGGATAAACAAGGCTCCGGTGTAGAAGCGTCGAAAGTACCGTTCGTCGAGAAGCGAGCGTTTGTTTCGCGTCTCGTTACATATTACGCTGACACTTCGAACGCGTGGTCCGGAACGGGCCGCCGTGATTAAAAATCGAGCCACGCGAGGGCTCGACGCTTTGCCGGACGGGAGTTTCGCGGTCCACCGGCGAAACTAATATAACTTTTAAATTACTTGTCGGACACGCATAGTTGGGATTCCGAAATGGCAACGAAGTGCGTTTACATTCGGTCGCGTGTAAAATTCGCGGCCCGACGCTCGTTGGGAAACGACGCGATACGTTCGCGGTACCGCAAGTGCCTTAGACGTTGCCATTAGTGAGAACTCCGCCATCCAACGTTGGAAATAAAACAGCACGGACAGACAATTTTCCAATATTATTGCCGATCGAACGGCATCAATAGTAAATGATACGAGAATGCAATTGTGGCAATGGATGCCAACCATGGTCGTGAATACAAGTATCGATTAATTGGTAACGCGTGGAACAGTTGTGTAACATGGGAATCTTCGAGCTTTTCCATTAGTTTTATTATTTTGTGCTTTCAACGGAAACGATTTAGAAGTCGTTGAATCAATTTGTTCTATCTTCAAACTAGACGAACCACTTAAAAGTTATGAAACACTGAGAGGAGTCGAACGTCGTTTGCTGTACGGCTTGCGGAAGGGTTGGAGCAAACACGCGAAACGGCAACGATCGTGCCTGGGAAAATATAAACAGTGTTACCTTGCCAAAGGAGCTTCGCCGCGATGAAAGGAGTAATATAGTAAACAGATTCGAAGAATTTGTCAGGTTCGCCGCGTCCTCGATCCTGTTTGAAATTTGGAACGAAATTTGTCAACGAGGACAAGCTGACAGATTGAAAAGTGGTAGGGTTAAAGTCGATGGCGCGCTTACGACGACGTTCGCTTCGTTCCTCTTTTCTCGCTTTCCTCTCCTTCATCCCCCACTACCACCGTTTTCCAATCCCGTCGAAGCACGGAAAAACGTCTCGACTCGATTTCTTATTCCGATAAATCAGTGCTTCTCAAATCTTCCTCTTTCCTTTAACAAAGGAAAATTATCGATCGATACCGAGTCGAAATAATCAGTTTTCCAATACACGGGTCCAAAATTCTCAGATACCTGTATTTGCTAATTACACTGTAAGGATTCGCACTATATTTTAGATATTTTCCTACGAAACGATCGTAGAAATACTAGTAAAAATCATTGCATTTAAATTCAAAGAAACCATTTAACCGAAGTTGGAAACTAAATTGAAAAATATCTTTCGACGCGCAGACTCGACGAAGAAAAGAAAACCGTTACCGGAAACAACTTCGATGGAATGGAGATTCAAGAATAAAATTCTCCCGAGTCCGGAGTTCACGGACTATAGTTTGAGAAACACTGCGATAAATCGTCCGTGCTTTCCTTCTTCCGGGCGAACAGAAATATCTGTTCCGCGTTCCAGATCGAATTCCACGAATCCGAATAAGTAATTACCGTTATCGCGCTCGCTTCGATTGCTCGCGAATTATTTTCGTCCCGAATCGACCGACGTCCACGCCGCTCGGAAACGTTCGACTCGAGACGTTTTCATTGATCTCAGGACACAAAACAATGTACAATGGAAGGTAGAAAACTTCTTCCGACGTCACGGCCACGAGGACATCCGATTGGTCCAATACGAATCACGTGGCTCCGCAACGTCGTTCTACCAATCGGACACCCCCGCGTTTGCGACGTTGGAACAAACGTTGTGTCTCCTATTGTGCGAAGAGATTTCTCCGGAATCGATCGAAATTCCTCTTTGTCGCGAACATCAATTACACGTATGTGATATGTACATTAAGATACCAAGGTAGAATAACATTAAGTTGTAGGAATTAAGTTGTAGGAATTAAGTTGTAGATGGTTAAGAGTACTTTCTGTCTTCATAACTTCATTATTTGTTGTAGAGGGTTTTTCAATAAAATACAACATGAAATACGTTTTACTTACATGATATACTAAATGAATAAATTGTAAAAAGCGAAACTATGCTATTCGAAATTTTCTCCTATCTTTAAACGAATCAACGATTCAAACAACTTGGCGTTTTCACACCGTAATGCTATCTTGTTCCTGTTTCTCAGGTTCGCGCGGCCTGACAGGATTCGCGAACAGATCGCCGAATAATCCCGGCTGTTCCGTAGGTTTCGCCACGGATTCCAGACGGACGTTATCCCTCAAGCTATCCAAGATGTTAAGCGGTCCAGAATTGTTTAATACGTCCATGGTCGTCGGTGCTTCCTCAATCTCCATCGGAACTCTGACAGACTCACCCTCGACAGTCTCTGGTTTCGACGTGGTGCTGGTACTCTTTCGATGTTGAAATAAACTCCCAGGCCTGAAAAAGTTCCCCAGAATACCTGGCTCGGAAGCCTCGGGAGTCTGCGTCGTCGATGATCCATTCGACTTCTGACCGTCACCGTGAGACTTGTGCAAGAGATTTTGAAGAGTCTGCACGATCACGGAGTTCTCTGTTCTATTCACCAAGCTCTGGATCGCTTGAAAGACGTTGTTCTTAATTGGTCGATCAATCGATGTGCTATTAGTCTTCGATACCTCTGGCTCTTCGGTTCCTGTAGATCGATTGGAGTTCCGAAATGGCGTTTGGTATATAGATAAGCTAGATGCTGGAAGATCACTAGGGATTACAGGTCTGCCATCGACTTCCACAATGTGCTGCAACGCAACCGAATGATCGACGCCGGGTTTGCTGATCACGAGAACTGGTTTCGGTTGCTCGATCATCGGCACGTAGACCGCGCCACCAAAGGAAGAGTCGCAAACGTTTTCCGGTGTCTCTTGATCGATCGTCGGTTCAAGATTCACGGAGATGCTCAAAGTGGGCTTGGAATCGGGAACTGGTTTTGCGGGTTCGACGTTATTTTGGTGATCCTCGCACAACGGCACGCCAATGTCGGGTAAACAATTATGGGCGACCAGGGTGGCAGTCATCGGCGAATCCAGTACCTTGGTGACGTAAATCCGCTGTGGCTTCGACGATACGCCGCCAGACCCCAAGGATCTCTCTACTCTAATATTCCCCTCTGGAACTTCTGTCAGCTCTGGTGTTTTCGTTCCAAGTTCCGGTGAGAAACCGTCAAAGTCCTCCGACGACTCCGGGTCCCCCAAAGTCGTAGAAACAACGACTTCCGGAGATATCAGTCTAGCGTTACCTTCTTCGGCCATGTACGATATGCTCGATTTCGGATTAATCGGTTCGATACGCTCCCCTTTGTCTTCGTTAACGGATTTCCCGCTGACACGCTCGTATTCGGCCTGGAATTTTCTTAGGCCATCCAGACAGGATTTTACTCCTTCGGCGGGGACCACGCAAACGGGCTGACGCCACCTGACAATCTCTACCACCTGTGCATCCTGTGCTGTCAACGGCGAGTGAATTCCAGACCAGAGAAATCGATTTAGGTTCAACGCGAACGAACCGGAGACTAGCGTCAGAAACATTGTTACTATCGCGTGCTTCATGGTTGGCGAGTTTCTAGGATGTTCTGGAATCTCAGAGCTTGGATCTTTAGCAATCTTTTCGATACTCGAAGATGTTAACACTGGGGAACCTTCTGGTACCAAGGAGTTTAATATTTGGAATTTCCTTGACGAATGCTTCCAACGTTTGGCCACTTTTCCAGAGAATTTTCCTCCAGTTTCGTTGATATTAAACGCACTGCATCATTCCGAAGGCAGACGGTGGTAAACTAAAGCATTTTCGAGCTGCGCAGGGTTATTTATAGACGAAACACTACCACCGACGAGTAAAAAGGAAAATATGTCGCGTTGTTAAGAGTCCTTTAGGGCTTTCGACCGATCGGAGAGCCTCTCGGAGTCCGTCGACGATCTTTCCGGGCGATTAGGCGGGTCGATGAACATACCTGAGCTGAAACCGATTTTAGTGCACTTACGTGCGGCCACTAACGTCGCGTTAATTACCCTCGAGGGACGTGGCGTTTATGTGTTGGACGTCTCTGTACTGGACAAGTTAATTGCGGGACTAAAATGTGGGTAAGGTGAAAGTTCAAGCATTTCTGAAATATTTCTGTCACGCTAATCGCTGTTACGTGTCCAAGCCATTGTCTGGTTACTTCCCATTTCGGAGCAACGTTTACGATGATTTTTGTTTTCGCTTTTATTCTCACTTTCGGTTCAGTATTTACTTCTGCTCTTCATTTTATGTTCGTTTTTTATGACGTTTAAATTCATTCACGGAATGTACATGCTGACTCTTTAAGCAAGAATTCAGCCGCTTCTACGGTCATAAAAGGTGCAACTCGACCGGTCCATTTAAGTTCCCTCTAATCTCCAGTCCCTACAAAAGCCCCAACAGCCGAGTGTTCCGAGAGAAACGACAAACGCGGAGATAACAAACAGTAGGGATGGAATCGAGTCCTATACATACTCACGAATCTAAGTTAATTCCAATACCCTTCGCTTGTTTGACGAGTTCAAATACTATCGAAAGTTCATTAAAGTCTGACCCCAGAAACATCTCTGGCCACACATTATATTTACAGGAAAGAATTTTTTTCGCGAAAGTGCGTAGAATTTCAGGGGTATGTCTATTCACCAAAAATGATTGTAATTGACCCCTCCAATTAAAAATAATTTTTTTACAAGGATTTAAAATTTTTTAATTTCGTTGAAAATTTGTCCACTCATTAATTTTTTTCTCGAAACGGGGTAGGATTTTGAGGGTATGTCTATTCATAAAAAATGATTGTAATTGCCCCCCGTAGCCAAAAATAATTTTTTTAGAACGATTTGAATTTTTTTTTTTCGTGAAAAATTTCTGTTTGTGTAAATGGGGGAAAGGGGGGGGGGGGCAGATTGATCCACGAAAGTCCATACGGTATAAGGTCTACTCGTATACCTCGTCCGTGGCTTGACCTTCGCCCTGCCATAAAATTAGTTCACAGGGGCCCACGGACGAAGGGTGAGTTCGGTATCGTTCCCATCGCTGGAGTCTTCGCGAGAGGCCAGATTCCTGCTAGTCTACGTCTCCGGTGAAGAGGAGTCTTAAGAGAGGAGAGGGAGGGTGGCAGGAGGTGGAGGAGGAGGGGGACCATTGGAGAAGGAGAGGCCCGCGGAGGCCGTGGCTGACGCGGAGGTGGAGGAGCGATTTCTTCGGCGATGCCTGGCCGCCACGGTGTCGCGCGGAGGCTGCGGTTAGAAAGCCTTAAGCCGGGCCCACAGTGTTGTCCGTGTGTTCGTCGCGGTCGCGTACCACCTGACCGTCCACGCCGCGCGACTCCACAACCTGTCCAGTATGCTCGGTGTCCGCGTACTAAGAGTGCCGTACGCCTGACCGACTGGTACCAGTACGGTACCAGTTGCCCTGCAGCCCGGCAGCTGCTCGAGCCTCGTCGTCGTTGCCCCGTCGAGCTGGCTCCGCGATCGCGAGAACGTCCTCTTCGTCGTTTTGCCATCCGGTGAACCGGTAGGTCAGTCCGTTGCGCGACGCAGGCGCCGTTTCGGGACTTACACGGGAAGAGGGTACCGTGCGTGCAACTCCTGGCGACCCTGGCCAACACGGTTTCTGGTTCGGCGAATCCCGTCAGGCATCAGCGATCCCCGGTGTCGGGTTCGGGTGACACCTTATCTCGCCTCGTTGAACTTGGATTCCTGTTGGGAACAGCTTCCCAGGTGTGGTTCGTGTTTTGCTTCGAACGGTTTCGAGGATTCCTGGACCCCATTGGAGCGAATGGCATTGTTTGGATCCAAGTCGAATAGCCCGGATAGCGTTTAGGTGACCAGGTAACGTTCATTTTGGGCGAAGCAGAAAATGCTAAATAGGAATATCTTTTGGGTCTAGAATGTTCAATTTTGAATATTTCGTGGGCTTCGTTAGTTTCGTTCGATGAGGATGTGGTGTTTTTTTTATATCTGATGTCTAAGAAGATAGACAAGTGTAAGTCATAGTTGACACATGCGTCATAGCTCTGTAAATTTCTACCATTCTCTGGATTCGTTATTTCGATCCGATGAAGATATTCTGCATGACAAACATGACGAATGCTGTTTTTATGAATTCTTTAGGCCCACTGCAAACAGGATAAAGATAACTGCCAGATAAAGAGCAAGCGGTACCATTGTCTGTTTCGATTTTGCAAGAAAATAAGTTTTCTTATCTTCAACCTTGACACAATGGGCTCTGTAATGACAGTACTTCGAATCTTCTAAATAATTTATATTATAAAATGGAGAATGTTTTAAATCTCTACTTTTACAAATCTACTTTGGTCATCCCCATCAAACTGTGTTTATCCATCGTAAGTTGCGCTGATTGTCGTGAAGAAAGACAGCTTGGACCCTCTTTTAAATTTCGTGTCGAATTATATCGCTATTGTGTAGTTCCTGGTCCGGCGATTTCCGTCAAGCCCGAGTGATTCTCGGTATCGGGTTTGGGTGACACCTTATCTCGCCTCGTTGAACTTGGATTCTTGCTGAGAGGAGCTCGTTATCTCTAGGTGCGGTTTGCGTTATGCTTAGAACGGTTTCGAGGATTTGTGGATCCCATTGGAGGGAATTGTTGGCGTTGCCTGGACTGGTCGAGTTGGAATAGCCGAATAGTTAAATAAGATCCCTGGGCGCTATTCGACATCGGTCTTTATCCTACCACAGTCTCGCTCGGACGTGTGAAACGCGTTTAGGTCCCTGGGCCAATTTCCATTTTGCTACCATATCGCGTGTCGTACGTAATTTCATCGTTCGTGTACTAAATTTTTTAAAGATGCTTCAATGATAATACAATGGAAAAGAGTACGATCGATTTCAAAATTAAAGGAATAGAAAATAGGAAAGAAAAAAGTTAATAATAACTGAAAAATGATCGTCTGCAGCTTCTGAGAAGGGATTTAAGCTTTTCTCGCGAATCTCCGACCGTGGGATCAGGGTTCAACGCGTTTCGAACGAGTACCGATTGCATAAGACCACCATTGTTGCATGCCAAAAATCGTCTCGTTGCCCGATCTTGGTCTCTCTTCTCGCTCTCGCGTCGCCACTTGCAGGTGCAACTTTCGATGCACGATTTAGAGGAGTTAGAAAGTGCGACGGGTCCGTTGTTCCGACGTTCTTTCCTTCTTTCCCTCGCCGTGGTTTCACGTGTAATTCCTAGTGCACCCGCGCGTGGCGAATATCTTTATCTGTTTATTGCATTTCTAACCTTTGGTACAACAAACTTGAAAGAATTTATCGTTATTAACGCACGCAACTACGGTCCGATCGCTCCATTAATGAAGTTTCTAAACAAACTTCTTAAACTTGAAAAAAACCTACGCCTCCTACGACTCCTCCTTGTATTCATCGCTGGTTCTGTGTATTATCAGTCCAAATAAAAGAGCAGATCTAATACCAAAGGTGGCAGGATTGTGATTACGCGAAATGATAGTCAATTATCTTGAAACACTTGACACTCTTGTCTAGAATTGTCTAAACAAGGTTCTCAAATGCGTCGAGGCAGTCGATTGTCACACAACAACAAAAAATTATCTGATAAATATGCATCCCACATGCACTTGATGGATTCTATATAAGTTGGCACCTTCAGATTCTGTGTCAACTGCTCTATCCTTGTACTTTATTACACTTAGGGTACTTTCTGTTCCACGCTAATGCTTCGTACGCTTCAGTCCTGGGAATGTTTTTTGCATTACTAATCGCAGTTTTAATTGACTTAATGTATCGGTCTTGGCATTGTTTAGCCACGATGCTTGCTCTCATATTAGAGAAGACAATCACAAGATATTTCAGTTCGCGTGCGAATCGTTTAAGATAATGTCCTCGTTTACGTAACACATGGTAAACGTCTTGGAATATTCGGAACGAATTACGCGGTTCGAATTAATTTCTGCCCCGTTTCGAGGAACAAACGCTTTCTTTTTCGAACAAATTCTTGCCCGCTGGTCGCGATAATTGGTATCGGACGAAATTCTATTACGAGCTCCCGAATCGTGGATACGGTGAATAACGCGTTTTGGAGCATTAATAACGGTAGATAAGAGATGCAGATAAGATAGTTCTGGATAATTTGCATCGTCGTTCGCCGGCTTCGCTAAACTAACACCGGGCGTTTTGCGCAACCACCAACTCTCTATTTACTGCCTCGAACGGTACTTCACGTGGTCTCGACAATAAACCCAACTTGGAAAAACTGGAACGAGGAAAGTTACGCAATACATATACCGTATATTGTTGCCATGAATTTGTACGCGCCGTAATCAAACCGATATAAATGAAATTCAGCGGCTTTATCCGCGACTTTTTGTCCGTGGAAATTGAAACGACACGTTTCGACCTGTGTTTCTCGCGTCCCACATAATTTAGATATATTCGAGACGAAACGTGTCACGTTTCGACAACAGAACCAGTACACTTTATTTCAAACTTTTTATTCGTGATCCTAGCTCGTTTGCGACGGTTTCGTTATTGAAATACGACAGCGTGAATACTTAGCACTCCGTTAGCGACGCGTCAAATATTAACTGACCGTCGAGATCCATCCGCGTCGATAAACACCAGACGCATGACATAGAAGCGACCAGTCGCGAGGCAAGTAACGAACACGGGGCGCCGAGAGTCGCGTATAATAACGCGATTATGCGTTGCACACAATCGCGTGTATTCATCGATTCCCTCCAACGGGATGACGTGATCGCACCGCGATCGTAGGTTGGTACACGCACGTGTGTGTTCCCATTGCGGGCCCACATGCCTGTCCATTCATGGTGAGGACGCTGTGACGCACACCGGGCGTCCACTCGCCTCGAAATTTGCATGTTGCCTCGAAGAAAGTGTACCGATGTCCTCAAAGTTTCTACGATTCACGATTCGGTCCTGTTTCCTAACTCGATCCCCTATTCTCATTCTTACAACGCTAGGCTCTGAGATTGAAGTTGTTGCAATGGGAAGCATTTATAATTTTAGAGACGATTGGAGACGATACAATTTTCGATTTAAATTGTGTTAAAAAATTGTTGAACAACGATACCGTGTATGTTAAACTTTCCACGTGCTACCGACGCAAAGTGCTCGACTCGGGCACGATTGACGCCTAATTATGCGAATGGTAATGAACGATATGGTCGATAGTTGGAAGAATTGTTGTTAAAACGAAGTAAAAATGGAGTATCGGAGTATTTTTCGTCGTGACGCTCGAATGGGGAGCGCATCGCGGATCAGGGATTCGCGTGTCGTCGTCGTGGCGGTAAAATACGATCCGTGGAGCGTTTATGGTAACGAGAGTACACCGACTTTCAAATACGCGGTTGATTTACAACGTTCGATCGCTCCGAGCATCGTCGCGGCTATTGTTTCGCGTTCCTAGACGCGATCTTTGCCTCGATTCGCCGTTGGATATTTTACGAGCCGACGTTCACCGATGCAAATTAGTCTGAAACGTTGATTCCAGTACGCCGGGGACTAATTGGTGCGATAGTCGACGCGTAACCGACCGGTGACGTTACGCGGCGTAATGCACCGTTAAAAGGGTGTGTTCTGGCATTCTTCGGATGATCATTGAACAGAAGGTCACCTGTCCAGGAACAGATTTAATGCGCGACTTGCTTGAATACCTGGGAGTGCGCTATGTAATGCTAAGTTAGCGTCCACAAGCTTATCAGTTTTACATTGTCATTTTCCAGAAGGAAAAAAATGGAATGATCTAAAGATAGAACGCCTAGCGTGTAAAGGAGAGAAAAGGTGAACTCCTTTTGGTCGTCAAAGCAATTTGGAACGATTTATTGGGTTAGGTGAAAGCCTCTATCGTGGCAATGTATCAAACGTTTTAACGGAGCCTAATATTTCGAAAAAATTATATTTTTGTGTACTCTTACCCATTCTTGCAAATGTGTCAGAATAGGTTGTTGCCTTGGTCGTAGAGAAACTATTAACCTTCTATTGTACGAGCCTCATTTCATCTTTTAAGAATGAAATTCTGATTGTTTGCACATCCCCGATTGAATTAATATTCAAAGCAAACAATAAGTGGCAGAACCAGCAGGATTATCGGATGTTCCCACGAGAAAGCATCGAGCGCGAATCTCCTGCGATTGCCTCGATGAACTTTACTTGGATCGTCCTTATTGGGTTCGCGATGGGGCAAATTATACAGTAGAGGGTTAAGCAATTCGACGAAGCGAAAAATCAATCACTTAAAACGTGCATGGAACGACAGAAATTTTATGAAACTTAAAACTCGATATTACAGTCAATCCCCCATTAATCGCTTAAGGAGAGAGTTAATATTATTTTGCGAGAAAGTATTGGTACAGAGATCTTACAAAATGGTGTCGTGTTCGACTTTTGCCCCTGTCTTGTTACGATCCTGCATGAACGATACGCGACACTGTTTTAACCACTTAAATGCCGCACCCGAGTTATGTTGGGCAACATAGTCGTCAGATAAACAAGTGAAATCATACTTAGTGCCTGGAATACCAACGAGTCAAATAAAAGGAGTAAGTAACTCTGAAATCCGGGAGAGAAATCTCTGACCGAATATTTAAAAAGCCGAATAAGCAAATTCTGCCTTTTTTTTAAACGGACTAATGAAATAAACTCACCAGGGAAATGGTTGAAAACGTTCTCAAACTTTTCCAAAGCACACCAGCGAACCCTTCTCCGTTTGAACTCTACTTCCTCGTTACGAATTGGCACAATTCGTCTCCGGTTAGTAGAAATGCGATAAATCAACGTTTCCTAAGACTAAAGCAACGATTCTGTCGCGAAGTTGGATACACTTTATCATCGAACAACCTCTGCAATCTTTATTTTTTAAGGCTTTCGACGTTGTCATGATAATTATTCACGAATATGACCTTGTGCTAGGTGGTGAATATGTATCGAGTTATTCGAGTCCGCTGTTATTTTTTAAACTTTATTTTCGTTCGATATGTTGCACGACGTTTCCATTTACGTAACGAAGAACTAATGCATTTACATTTCCCGGCGGTAAGCAGCTTCTTTAAGCAGCTGGAAACGAGTCTTTCAGCGAAGGAAGTAATTGGAATATTTGAAAAGAGTTTCGCTAAATATGCCACAGAAGGACATTTATTCTCATTTAATTTCCAGCGTCGTGGGATGTTTGCATTGTATTTTGCATTACTCGAATAGAACAAATGCAGGAATTCCTCCTTATTCGAATACTCAAATACGTGCAGGTTCAGCTCCCGTTAAAAAATTTTTGATCATTTTTACGATACCTAGCTAGAAAAATCGTTTAGAACATTTAGCCCACTATTCCGTGGCCATAAACTAGGTCCTCTTCCTCGTAAAGGTCCTGCCGGGTCGTTTTTTCCATTTTATGGACCGTGCAAGCGTCTTTAGTTCCCTTTAGGCTCCGTTTCCGCTCTTAGCAGCCGTTTATTATTACGAGGATCGGTAAATACTTCGCAGCGTTTACAATTAAAGTTGAAATAAATATTTCTTGCTCGCAAAGAAACAGTGATTTACGAAGTCATCCGAAGCTTTAGAAACTACGAACTAGAAGCTTTAGAGTTTTCGTTTTTTGTTATTTAAAATTTCGAGTGGTCGTAAATTTTTCTAATTTTCTTTGTGTCTAGTCCGCGAAAAGGTCAACGAGGAACAACGCCTGGCTCGGGACCGATCTCTCGCGTGCGAGGATCGAGAGAGAAGGCACACCGGTTGCGGCAGGTCACGAGGAACGGGTCTTAAGATGGCCTACATTATCCGGCTTTATCGGTGAGAGAAGCGACGGTTGGATCGTGGAAGAAACGGAGAGGAGGGCAGGCCACGTGGCGGGCGAGCCGATAATAGCGGGATACGAAGAAAAATGGGACAAGCGTGGTGCAAGGAGAAGACCTCCAAGGCTCAGGATTCCAAGTCTCCCTTGGATCGGGTCTTCGTGCGCTGTGCACATCGGGTATGTGGATAAATATTCTCAATTTATCTTCGTTTCGTCTCTGAATCGCAAACGGAGGCAATGGATCGACGCAACGGTCGCTCAAAACCGAGAAGACCTGAGCAAACTCTCCCCCCGATATAGTCAGGTTTCGAGAAAAATGCATTTAAAGTTTCTCTCCTATAAATTTCATAGAAAACTATACCTTCTGCAAAAAACGCTTATTGAGATTTGCACGATGCATTGACATTTATCATTCTATATTTGTTCTCTGCATTAAACGTTTCGTCTCACCGCGGTTGGGTAATCTTTCATACCTAACCGTCATTTTTCTATTCTATTCACGGTAGAAAGCAACGAATATAAAAGTTTCGTATCACTGGCATAGACATTCTAATCCACGATTAGGTTCGTGCTGTAGACATGGTATTAAAATCTGAAATAGACGTTGTCGCGTAAAGATAGAAATTACATTTTCATAAAATGTACGCTTCTCAGGTTTAAGAGACAACTTCAAAGTTTTATATGGCAGTCAAACGCGTTACATCCTTTTTAACTAACATCTTTACAACTCTTCGTTAAATTGCATTAATAAACATCGTGGATGTATCAGACGGCGGTGGGGCGTTCATAAATAATGTACTATTTCGCGTTTAACGATCCTATCGTCCGACAATCTGTTCGCGTATCGGAAAACAGAATCTGCCCGATGTTTCTTCAGTGCTCGCAAGAAAGATTCGAATTACCGATTATTGTACACACGTCGAACGCGGTTCGTGTGTAGGAATGCGCGGCGCGGATTTATCATTGTGCATCGGACGCGAACGCCACTCTAATTTGGAATCCGAGACACGCAGATATGCGTGTAATTGCTAATTAACCGAGTGACGGTCCCTCGTTGCATGATGTACGCGAACGCGTGACGCGACCATCCGCAAAAAGTTGTCGGAGTTGCGAAAACACGTGCGACGCGTTTGTTTCGAACGTACTTTGAACTTTACCATTAATAACCGAATCGTTTACTTTCGATGCAGCAAGTTTTTACGGAACCAACAGACTGCTGCTTCCCGATAATAAATATTTCAGATTAAAGTTATCCCTAAAGCTACCTTGCTTTAAATCTGGGTTTCTAAATTACTAATTTTTTAAACCGTGATTTCCCCAATTTTCTGCAACGTCAACGAAACTGGTAAAAGGGGTTTGATCGAGCTTCGACCCTTCCGTTTGTCTCCTTTTAGCGCTGGATTATGCTACCATCCATCGTCGCGCGTTTTACCATAAAAATTAATGTATTTCTGCACCCGTAGAACGGTGTTTAGTAGTGGTTGAAACTTTAATGCAAGAGTAACGAGCACGCTAATGAGTCGACACACGTAACGTTCACCATTACGTAACCCATCATGCGAAATGCAGAGCGGAATAATGGGTCCATTGCAAATGAAAAGTAATTAATTATCACGTGTTTCGCTTTGATTAGCGGCTCTAAGGAGCCACGGGCGGTTTTGTGCGCGACGGTCTCTCCATCGCCGATCCGTTTCGTTATTTTTCTGGTTTCGCGTCGATGATTCCTTGCCCGGTTACGTGAAATACAATTTGCGCGTAGTTTACACAAACCGTCGGTTGTTTTGCGCCGAACGCGTTTCGATTCGATCGAGTTACTCTCCCGGTTTCTTCCACGTGTTAAATATACAAGCGTTAACATTATTCCTAGAACGAATAACTGCAGGGAAAAGCGTACGAAGCGATTCTGGAAACTGGAACGGGCCATGATATTTTTCTAAACGAAGATACGCGCTCGTTTCTTAAACGCAACAATTTCTTGCAATCCTTTGCAATTGCTCTTTATGTTTGGTTACATAAAATCTATCTAAAGCAGTCTAAGAATACGCACCGTTCGATTGTTACGCTAAAGTTTATTAATAAACGTAATTATGTAGAGTTTCGTTTGAAATGAGCCGCGTAAACACGTTTTACGACCTTTATATGCATGCACGCGATTGTGGGAATAATAATGACGACGTTGTTTTTGTCCGCCATCTTGGATTCATTGTTCGTCACCTTCGAGCGTGGTTGCAATGATTCCGCGCGAAGTTTTCCAGAAATTCTGTCTTATTTACCGCGCTGGTTGTTTTCGACTCGGGATTCGACGAACCCGATACGATTTTAAACAGCAGTCAAACGAAAGCAAACACACGGCGTGTTTGTTGGTCGCTAAAAATAATCGATCGTAACGGAAATTTTCGATACGAGACTTCGTTAAAATTGCCATGCGTTCGGTATTCTTTCTATCGCAGAACTCGACCATTTTTATTATATTTTTATAGGAATCCATGGGCAACGATTGAACTAGTTTCTCGACGATCGATCGATCAATTTTGAACTTTTCGCGTGGGTCGAGTTTGCATTTATCTGAACTCATGTCTACGAAACGAACGAGAGGAGAAATAATGGGTACAGAAGGAAATTATTCAAACGACCGAGAAAAATTCCTCTCCAAGTAATCACGTCAGTGGGAAACACAAGTAACCTTTACTGCGCGGAAGACGAGCTATCCCGTCACTGTTAAAGTCTCCGTAATGGCATAACAAGCTGACCCGTCGCGATGGTTCGATAATCGCTTTCTCCTGATAAGTCTGAAACTTTCATTCCAATAATGTCTTTCTAGCATTTCTTCCAAGCTTGCTTCGCGCGCGATAAATGACAAAATAGCAATCTCCGCTCCACTATAGTCTATCTACATATTACGGGAAAATCTTGTATAATGGCTTTGTAGGACTTCGGATTTAGCAGCGATAGCAATAGGATGAGGTAAGATTTAGGAAGTTTCACGGACTACACGGAAGCTAGGATGAAGCAAGGTTCCTACAGCATGGATGACACAGTGTTTACAAGCCTGATTGACACTGTGTTTGCGTCCGAGATGTCACGCATAAGTTAACTGGGTATATTACAACTGACCTCTTTTGACGCGTCGAACAGTCAACTCTTGCAAGCTAGTTTCCCTACGCAATATTTTCCAATCCTGACCAGATTTTATTTCTCGTATCAAATTTCTTATTTTGCCATACGTGCATCGAAATATCTTCCTAATTAATTTCGAGAGACTCTTTCGACATTTTTCTTTGCACCTTGGAGGCTTATTTTTTGATCCAAAGATTACGAAATAAAATCTATGGATCAACTATCTCGTAGACCCTAACGTACCTGAGTTTCTGGAAAGGTGACAAGACGATCGACTTCAACGATTCGTTTCAGGTAGAGAAATCCTAGCATCCTTGCACGTTTGTTTATATTTCCCTGTCAATTCTCGTCGTTTCGCGTATCGTCGAAGAGGATCGAGAGGGGGTAGAGTCGTCCAGGGCGAAAAGAAGCGCGAGGGAACAGGTGGTGATCGATAGATCGCGGTTCGAGGGTGGGGTGGGGGGGGGCACCCGTGTTTCACAGGCTGTGCAGGATCAATTAGACGCGGCGCGATAAGTTCGCTGCTAAATGAGAAAACGCGGCGGCGCCGTCAAGGATTTACGGTTGCGCAAGAGCCGACGAAGGAGGAAAAATCGAGCCCGAGGCCGGCACATGTTTATTAACTGTTCGCCGGTCTCCTCCTCCTCCTCCTCTGCCACACCCCCCTCCCTGCCGTTTTTATCTGCCGCGGCCGGAAAACGGGGAACGACCGCGGTGATTTTTCTTCCGAACGAACGCGTTTATTTATACTTTTGCGCTCCCCCCAGTACGACGATTCGCTGAATTTTACGCTCTCGCGACGCCGGGCTTTCTAAAGGTCCGAAGAAACGGTTTTTAATTCCGCGACGTTCAATGTCACGTTCGTCATCGTGGAAACTCGAACGTCTCCGACGTTTCACTCGCGGATTTTACATTTTCTATTTGTTCCGTTGTTTCCCGTAGCGTCTCGAGCTGCGCGATTTAAAAAATATCAACGATTCGAAAGGAAAGGAACATCGTCGGAAATTTCGCGGGATTCTCGTTTCGATAATCGATCGTGCGTATCGTTCTGTCTGTGGAAAGCGGTGCAGGCTGTCGCGGGCATTAGTCATTCTTATATAATTCGCACTTAACGCCGCCAGCAGATGTTGCGACCCGAGAAAAAGTACACCTCGCGTTAAAGGTTAATTACGCGTTCGTGTGCGCTACAAAACAAACTTTAATGCTGCAGTTTTTAATCGGATTGCGCGACGCTTTTGCCAGGCAGAAACGGTAGTTTCCCTGTCCCGGGGAAGGACTACGGGAGTTTCTTGGACGATTTATGGGCCGCGTTCATTAACGCAATTCGTTTGGCGCGAGGGGTGGGGGAGAAACGTTGTACAAACTTCGGTCCGCGGATACTTTTCTTCCGAGTTTAAAGCCCTTTCCACCGGGGAACATTTTTTAATCGGTTTAAACCAATTCCCGTCTGTGATCTATGCTCGACGAATTTTGCCGGACCCAAGTCTCCTCGTTCGCGGAGATTTTAATGTAAATGGGGAAAGATCGATAACGCGGCTTTCGTAATTTATGGACCGCGATTCCTGGAATTCTTTGGTCGGCGAGCACACCATAAACCACCGGTTATGCGAACCCTTGATCTTGTTTTATTCCTTGGCTCTCGATTACACGGACGGGGCGATAGAAAATTCTTGCAACGCTGGCGTAAACGTTCGACCGAATAATCGGACAGTTCGCGGACCGCTTGTTACCCTTCGTTTGCCAAACTATATCTTTTTGGTTCGCCGAATGGGCTTTAAATAAAGAAGCTTTCCAACTGTTATTCTTCCTTTGTATTCCCTATACGTCGTAGAAACAACGGTACGGACCTTACGATGCAATCGTTTTTATAAATTGTCCTTTTTATTCGGCGCAAAGAACGACGTATATTTTCGGAATTCTACCTTGGAAATTACTAGGGTTAAAGGGTTAAAGAGAAGCGTCGGTCCAATGGTTTCGCCTAGATACTATTTATCGAGGTTCCCTCGTGTTAGTCTTTAATTTTCTGTTATCTTTGCCGAGGACGCGTTAAGATTGCTCGA